GTCTAGAAGACTTATTTCCAGTGGGGTCCTTCTGGTGGTGATTGGGCAGTACACCGGGAGACAATCCCCTACTCTTTTCCGAAGAGTGTACTGCGTTCTTTAACGTGCACATGGGCCATAATGCACACGGGACCAACGGCTTAAACGTCTCATCCGAAAGACGGTGCGCTATTGTAACTTGTATTTCAGCCCTCTAGCTGAGACACAAGGAGAGGCAGCGATGGGAATTGAACCGGGGACCTAGAGATCTCCACGGTTCAGCACACACACAGCGCGGCTACCACCACCAGATTAGCCGACTGAGCTAAGCTGCTCCTGAACCTGAATATCTGTTATGTACAAAATTGACTTGAGTAATACTAAATTATTCTACAAATATACTTTTTTATTTGCATATTCACCTGATAATCCTTGACAAGGATGAACATGTTGTCTGCTCCAACAGCGAGGATAATAAAAGGCACAACTTCCAAAACAATTAGGCTGGGTTTAATATCAGCATAACCATACACACCCGCAGCCGACGTAATGGAAAGTAGGATAATCACAATACCACATACGCCTAGCGTAATTTTCGAATCAACCTGGATGGTTAAATGTATTATAAAATTAGATCTACTTTTAAAGATTAATCTAACATTCCCGGGCATAAGCCTACTATATGCAAACACATGAACATTATCGCATTCATTTAGATTATAGGCCTAATACGTCGTTGAAACATGGATCCGATCTCACATCGTCACATAGACTGGGTTCCAGCCCCTAAACTTCACCTCAATCAGTTAAAAAGCTTGAAAAAAACGATTTTGGCACCAATAGCGTTCTATATTACTTATTTGCTTGGCGTTTCATAGTATTGTTTTTCTTGGTTTCGCATCCAAATTCAACAACATAAAAAGTTTACCGATATATACCAACGCTGGCGGCGCTCTCTGAAATTAGATACTGTAATACTAGGAAAAATCAATAATTAGAGACTTGCGGCAAGTCTAATCGTCACCATTTACAGCGATTACATTAGAATCCCACTTTTACTTCTAAAGTTTGTTTTCACAAAATCGCTACACAGTATTGCTGCTGATTGATCGGTTGAATCGGGGAGTCTTCTCAATTGAGTATAAAATACAGTACGTCTAGTTACGGACCTACTTGTATCATATCTATATTGTAAATATATATTTGATGGATGAATAAAGCTGTTGCTTTACCAACAAAAGAGAAAACAATTTGCTTGTACGTACCAGGAGACGCGCACACTTGTTGTACTGCCCGAGCGCCAATACAATGTATACAAATACCGCACAGTAACTGATGACAATTGTTAACGTATCGGCCTCGCTATCTTTCTTAATTTCATCCTCAAGTGAAAACTAAAAAGATAAGTGAAAAAAAAAAACATATTTAGTTTATGGTTTCAGTGTGAAACATACCAAGGTTAAAGTCCAACACTTGTTTTTAATGGTAGGCCTTCTTCTGGGTGTGAATTGGCTGCACAGGGGGTTACAGCGGGGAACAACCCCCTGCCCTTTTTCGAAGAGTGACCTATACAGCGTTCTTCAAACGTGCACATGATGAGTCATATTGCAGTAATGCGCATTCACATCGGATCCGACGACATTCAAACCGTGTTTCCGATGCGATGAACGCCAGCGTCCCTATTCTTACATACTGATCCAATTTTTTTATCGGTTCGGTAGGATTTCTGATTCAAATTTTCCCATTCGGTGTGAAAGCACCTTTAAACGTTTATTCCAGAAAATGGACCAAAAGACCAAAGTAATCTGGTACAATCTCAGGGGTTCTCAGTCAGCGCCCAAAGGCGCCCTTATTGTTTAAGAAATATGCAATATTCAAATGTGTGGAGAAGCAAAATCAGCCTTGTTAAAACAATTTATTTTGTAGCTGAAAAAAATGTTCACCTCTCTCCTCCTTACCTTGGCAATTTGCTGAGCAAAAAGCAATTTCTCTAGCCTAATATCTATAAAGCGTTGAACTGAGGTTACCTCTATTTAGCGTTTAACACTTCGTGTATGCAACTTTCAGACGAGTCTTTTTGTTGACACTTTAAAAAAATGCTTAAATCATGGGGGAAATATCCTCCATGATTAAATACCCTCCATGATTAAATACAGTACACAGTGGCGTAAGTTGGCGTATTGGGTTTTCGGCAAGGGTTCATAATTGCCATTAATCACCGACAGGCCTACAACCACTTACCGGTACTACAACTAACAAAAAAAATATGTATAAATAATGTCTTAAAATTGGAAAATAAATAAATAAATAAAATTGAATAACAGGACGCGATTCGAATTCACGATCTTTTGGTTCCTTACTATACATCGTTAACCGACCGTGCCATCCCATGCGACGTGTCCTATAGTAATGGCAGTATGTACAGTCCTTGCTGAAACCCCTATTTTGTTTAGTAGGTGTGTAGAGCTTCCTGGGGTTCAACTTAAAAAAAGAGCCAAAAACTGTTGTTGGAAATCATCTCTAGTTTATGTGTACACAATTTCCTGCACGTCCGTTCAAAACTGTCGATGCTGGACGCTTTTAAAGTTAAACAACAATAAGAAGTGAGGTTCAGAGGTCCGCGGACCTAAAATTAAAATCATCACCTCATTTCAGCAGCTGGAACGGGCACCCTATTGGTCCCCCTCCAATTGTTGAGTTACTGTAGACACTGAGTGTAACTTACATCTGAGTAGTAGGTAACCCTTATCAACGAACTTGTGTATGTCGTCTCCATGTACTCAATGAATGCTTCTTCCCATGCTATCTTCATATCTGAGAATTCATTGTCGTCCGGTTCATTTCTCACAAAAAGCACCATAGGAAAAGCCTCGGCACTATTGTAAACATCTACGCCATCAACAGCTAAGTTTAAGTAAATTAAACAATATTTATGCATATACGCATTCTTTAATACTTGTTTCATTTTAATGTGATTTTTTTCTTTTATATTCGTTTTTACTCTGGGAACTTTATAAGGGCTATTCTAAAATATATATAGGCATATATAGGCATACATACATACATATACCTGTCTCTTATACACATCTAGATGTGTATAAGAGACAGTATCAGTCCTTATTTATTTTATCTGTTGACACATTATTTTTAAAACTTTCCTATATAACATGTCTTAATTCCCAAAACACTGTCTCTTATACACATCTAGATGTGTATAAATGATAAGCCTCAATCTTGTGCACATTATTTGACAATAACAAAACATTAAATATTCATCTTTTGTTAACTGATCATTTTTTGGTTTAGATTATTGATGAAAATTCGTTTGGTTTAACTTACTGTCGTAGCCTCCGAGGGAAGTGTACGGAAACGTTGGAAAGCCAACTGAGCTACTGCAGGGAATGCCTAGAGGAATGGATTGAATAGCCAATGGCGAACTGAAAACAAACAAGTTGAACGTCATCTCTCAGGAACAGAGAAAGACAGAGGGGTTTTTTTGGGGGGGGGGGGGGGGGGTAGTGATCAGGTAAAGATATATACAAACTTTAGTTCGAGTACCAATACAAAATAATTATCATCATTTTAATTATTAGGCATATTGGCTATCATTTAAAATTATAATTATCATTATTTACCACAATTATTACCATTATCATTATCGTCATCACCATCAATACCATCATTAACACCAACACCATTATGCCCATCGTCATCGTCATCATCATCTTCTAGGTGTCATTACAATCATCATCACCACCACAAGCCTGAGGTGGTTCGGCAACCCCGCTCATATGGATAGGGAACGCCAACACGCCCAAGGCTGACGCTGAGCATCGTAATATGTGGTGGTGAACATTTTTATCATTCGACTTTATTTCTACGATCCTTTAACTTTTGGAGTCTTTAAGAAAACTTCTTTTACAAACCAAAACCTCTCCAGAACCATTTAGAACAAATTTCAGTAACCTACTTGGCGCAATACAGGAAATGATCTCGATAGTCTGCTACGGGAGTCTTTACTTTCATTCTGTCGAGGTTATTCTGCCAATACTGAAGAACGCTGATCGTCAAACATTCATCGGAGAGAGGCGCCAAGGGTTGGTAGCACACGTCTTGATATGTAATCGTTGTTTTTGTACCATTAGAAAGAGTAAATGGAACTTCGATTTGTTTTATTTGGTTCTGCAGAGATAATATCTAAACGAACGAAAACACGAATGTAAATCATCTTGTGATAATGCTTATGCATTTTAAAAGGTGAGTGGAAAAATCGTCCTAATAATAGCGGTTCTACTTCCCTGTGTAGACCCCTTGATATGCATAATATTTTAATAAATATAAAAAATATAAATTATATAAAAATTAAAACTAGATAATTGAAAATAATAAAAGACATTAAATTTTTACCTCCTCAAATATTTCCAGGTTAAATAGTGCTGTAAATTCAACAGGCCCATTTGCGTAAGAATTATAAATCGTGTTATTATTATTAAGTGGCGTTATGAACAACTGTTCAGTGACCGGCGGAGACCCGAATGTGTCTTGAAAATACTCTTGATTCTTCCTTGTCTGACCGTCTGGGTTTGACCAAAGCAGCACAGGATCTGTCACTATTTCTGTATATATTATTCCACAAGAACATCCGGCAACCACGATACCGGCGACCAAAAGGACAATAAATGGATGCTTAGCGACCATCGTACCCCACTTTTCAAACCATCCACTTAATGTATCGTTAAATATTTTGCTGCAAGAGTCACAGCAGTTTGCATCTATCTCATCTTCGGTTTCGTTTGATCTCCGTTTCTTACAGAAAGCTATGCAAAGTATAAACACCATAAGTATGACCAGGAACACGAAAAACACAATCGCCAGAATAAGAATCACACCATCCACTTCCCCGATCATAAACGGCTCATCAGTCGCCTCTGGAATATATTGCGCATCGCACGCAGCCGGACAATCCTCACAACTGCATGCCGGGTCACTTCCAGCCGGATTCTCGCAAGCGAGTGGTGTACTCGACAGTGGAACAATACCATCTGAAAAATTTTGATTTGCGTGTACAAAATTGTAATTGATTGCGTACGAAGTTGGTGCTGTCCCCTGTAAAACATTGAACCAAACTACTGGGGAGCATTTGTCGCCTGGGAATCCAGGACACATTAGGTCAAATACTTTGATGTCATTGATGCTTGGGTATAACACGTTTTTGCATGACTTGTGAACTCCGCTGGCATAGTCTAATGTCAAGAACAGATCGACGCCAGTGACAGATGTTTCCGTCGGGGATGTTACCGTTGTGGATGTTACATTCAAAAACTGGCTCTGGTGTGGACTACAAGTTATCTGGCAGAAGTGGTTCAAATAGTTTTTCAGACAGGCTGGGCAGCGACGTAGGGTTTGCTGGGCAAATGCTACTGTGGCGGCCATATTTGTTAACTGAGTCGGGCTACAACACACAATAGGGGGTAGACCAGGAGGTGCGGCTAAATTAGGGCAGAGGTCATAGAGTAGAAATAATGCTTGTTGGTTTGTTAGTGGTTGTGGAGGGGCATAATTCAAACAGGGCCCGTTTTCACATTCATCGTACCAAATACACATATTAGCCTGGTGAACTTGTCCATTATTCTGTCAACGTTAAAAAATAGACAATATGTAATAAGATTTATTGTGACACAGTAATGAAAGCATTATCGACGTCTTAATACATATACTTACATTCAGCATCATGCATTTCTGCACCTGATGCTGTCTTATTTAGTAAATCCATTATTAGTACCATGTCTTAATTCCCAAAACATTCGAAAATCAGAGTGGCGTATCTACCAGAACGGGAGTTTATGGGATCCACCCACATTTTGTTGAGCTGACTACAACATTATGGACAGTGGAGTCACTTAGGCTATGTTCACACACATCAGCTAACGGTTAGCAGGATCCGGATTACAAACATAGGCCTACGCGCTCACCCATGCGTTCATACAAGAAAATCCCCAATCTGGATACAAAGAGGATGATGATCGGATCACAGGCCAATAGGAAACTGGAAATTGGAAATGCGTACGTGTGATTGCTTAATGATAGCGCTCGTTAACCATTGGCGTATCCGGATCCTGGTAACGGTTAGCGCTAATCGATCGGGCGTTCTCACATGGGTGCTAACGGTTAGCTGCCGATCCGAATAATAGGGCTCGTGTGAACCTGACCAATAACTTTGTTTGGATTGGAAAATTAATATTTGAGTCCGATTACCTCGTCGTGGCGTCGGACTACAGTGGTCCATTCTAGCACAACCATCCCCCCTCCCCCCACCGCTGACGCCGCCATTGTTTCGGTTCAGTTCGGTTCATTACATGATTCCAATAAATTCACAATATAAAAACAATATAAAAATACATAACAGGAACATAAGCTTGAATTGATGAATAGTACAATAAAAGTAAATTGTGTAACAATAATATCAAACGAGAAGCTTCAACCAATGAAATGCGTCCGATTATGTGGTACGATGTGAACGCTTTTTACTAGTCATCGTTAACCATCCTTCAATGGGCTTAAGTGCTTAACAGTATAAACAAGTTTTCTATTGAACTGCATGAAAAGATCCTTTTGAGCATAGTGTGAATAATCGAATATACTGATACTTCTTACGGTGGATCAAATCAAGTTTATTCAGTATTTTTGCAAATAAATGAACTGCAGTACCGTATTACTGGTATATAGGCTAATTGTCTTGTCGAATATAAAGCCAAAGTTTTAATTAACCAATTGGATGTGGTTTCATTTTAAACGTAGGTGTTATGTACAACCTAGTACAGCGGGTACAAGACAGCCTCAATTGAACCCGACCTTAAACAACTTAATGTTTATGCCCAGCTTATATACCCGGTAAAGGAAAACTTAGTTACGATGTTCATAATACTAGAAGAAAAATGAAGTTTATTCAGTGTTTTAAATAAGTATAACGGTCATGGTCTAAAGCCGGACACTCACTACATCGTACGACGAACCCAATACCGCTCCCTGTGAGCGACAGATGATCGGTGGCAGTCTGAACGGAACCTGCATTCAAACGATCCGTTTCGCGAGCGCCGTGGCATTGCGATTGCGTTCTGAATAGAATCGCGTTGGCCGTCGGTGGGTCGGACCCACTGATATCTACTATTATTAGTAGGCCTAGTGATCAGTGGTCGGACCCAGTGCGTGCCCGACTTAAATCATTCTGTAACATACAATACAAAAAACTGATAGGAGTTAAACATAAAACCAATAAGACACACAAGTTCTTTAAAAGGACGTTAATAAAATAAGACATTCAAATGTGTGTATGTGTTTTTTTTTATCTTGTCTGGAAATAAATCGTGTGAAATTTGGTTTTTAATAATCTCACGTCCATGAAAACTAGAATTCAGAAGACACTTGACTTACCTGAGCACATAAGGAGACAAGTACCAATGCGGTAATTATTATTCCTTTCATTATGCGGCAGCTTCAACTGTCATGCAGATCCCCTTATTATTCCGTTTGTATTGCAAGTTACGACGGTTATTTCACGTCCAAATTCCTCCAAAAAACAGTGCTGAAATTTTAAGAAATTTTACGGCATTATATTAAACTAAGGAAGTAGATATTTAGCCAGTCGTGAGAACGCACTCCAACCCTAATCCTAAGGATAAACAAATTCGAGTTGTAGCTATTAAAATATACCCTTGGTATAAACTTTAATATTTTTGACTTGAAGTGATTATATATGGCATTAAAAACATAAGGTCGTATGATGTTCAATCTTGTGCCCACGAGTTATGACAATCATAAGTGGGTTAGTACTAAAACCGGATATTGGGAGAAAGCCAATAAACAACAACGTCGTCACAAAACAAAAGAAAATCAAAAAAGTGAAAGAAAAACATCTCACCAATTCCGATGGATTGAGAATTTTAAAATGTCCTCATTTTCTTTTAAAAAATAAAACTTTTGTTTAAGGAGGTTTATCCTTCGATAATATTAATGTTATAGGAACATATCACTAAGCCCACAACGATGTTATAAATAGGCCTATTTGTAAAATAAAAACAATAGCTGCTCATTATACAAAAATAAATAATAATAATAATAATAACTTGATAGGCCTATTAATAATGATGATGATAATGATAATAATAATAATGATGATGATAATGATTTTGAGAATAATATGCCAAATGATGATATATTTAATATAGCGCTTTTAACAAGGAAACGCTTTTAACAAGGAGACGCTTTCGATCAAGAAAAACTGTTCAAGTCTTGAACCGAGAAGCGAAATTAACACTTCAGGAAATGATAATATGGTGTATTCTATATATAAATTTTGACTATGAAATACCGTTATTAATTTCGAAGTGGCTTTAATCCATAAATAATGGACAAAATAATAATTGAGCATGCGTACTGGTACCATTTGTATTATATCGTCATGAAATGGCCAAAATAATCACTTATTCGACAGCGCCTAAAGCGTTCGTGATTTAGATCATTTTTATGGTATGTCAACTTTAACAAAAAGGGAGTGGTTAAGCATTGATTGAAACATGCCAGGCCTTAAAGACCTAAATATTCTTGATATGTTTTAATAATATCAAAGGTGTTGATCTTAATTTCGAACTAAAATCAAATATACAATGCAAGTAAAATGGTAAACATGGACTTGATTACCGTTATATCTTGGTGATTGTAAGAATGTTACACACTACTTTTTTCTAGGTCGAAATGTCTTACGAATGAAAAAATTGACGTTTTAAATATTAACTACATCTTTGAGAAAACCCCGGTGTTTGGAAATATTTTAGTCCTCGTCAGTTTGTTCTCCTCTATTATTTAGATGTCACTGTTTGTATCAAAGGCCTATATTATTGCAGTATATTTCTGTATATAATCTGTCTCGATGTATCAGCACTACAAACAACTTAGTTGAGTGAGTTTATGCGTACTCACTTAGAACCTACCTTTGTATTTCTGTATACGAAATATAATTACACCAGTTGAATTGTTGCGTTTCCTATGGATCCGAGGAGTGGAAAGCTCACACAAGCGCAAAGAGTAGATTAAGTATAATAAATACCGTACAGTTATGAGTAAGTTTTAACCTTCGTTTTATACACAATGCAGTCAAAGGTTTAAAGAATTTATCCATGGAGGAATTAGTTTAGCCTCCATGGTTTATCCAATGACCATTCACGCAAGAATAGATGACCTGAGTATAAGTGCATTGTTTAATTCAGGTTGTGAAGAGCATTTTGTTCTACGTCAGTTGCTTTAGTACTGAACAGTTAGGCCTAATTTTTTTTCCATGGAAACAACATCGGAATATAAGAAAATACAAAATAAACTTCCGGAAATTAAACTCGCTGAAAATTGTATAACTTTTAACGAAAGCGTTTTATTTGTGTGGTGGAGTGCGGAAAGAGATTTTGGGAACTTCCTGTGAATTCGACACATTTCGTCTGTGGTTTTGAAGTCATGGAAGCTATCGTATCCGTGTTCGGTTTCATTTAAAACAAATCTGAGGCGTGGTTAGGCCTACATACGTCTTAGTCAGAGAACGTCAGAATTTCCTTTAACAAAATTGACCAGAATTTAATTCCACGTATTGTAGGCCTACACAATATTCACATGGTGAACCCTACCGCCATTATTGGTTTAAAATTTTATTTTACTGTAAGAAGGTACCGTATTAACCTTCTTCCTTTTGTTGTCTTTAGACTTAGTTAATGGAAGTTAGCCTAATGTTAGGCCTACAGTATTCAAACGGCTTATAAACATATTATAAATTACAAACAAAAATAATAATACAGTAAATTAAAATATAGAACAAGAGCCTAAACGCCAGGCTCCGGAGAAAAAATTGTTTTGATATGTTACACAACTGATGTTTCTAATATACAAAAAGGATATTTGACGACAAAATCTGGAACGTTTAATACGGAGGGTGGGGAAGGGCGTAACATTTTCTCCATCCGTTCCCCCTGCCGGAACCTGGCTTTAAACACAAGCTTTTTATCGTTAACCGGACACTTTTACTTGCACTGTAGTGAGATTATCATATAAAAGTATCGATTATATAGAGAATTATTAAAATGTCGAAATGAAAAATAAACACTACCGTATATTATGACAATTCAATCAGGATATATCTTTGAAGTGGCTGGGCAAACTCCTTTTCGACAAAAAAAAATGCGAATTAGGTATTAAATTCATTCTGAATAAATGCCATGAATTAGTGAACGAATATATGAAATAACTGACGAATTAACGAACGAATGATGAATATTTGCACCAGAAGTGAAAACATGCTTTATATTTTTTGAACAATCGTCGTACAAATATTCATTATTAGTTCTTATAATATGCCATGTCAATAGTTGAAAGTCGGGATTTGTCGTGTATACAGTAGTATTGTCTGCTTCAACATAAAGAAAGTTATAGGCCTAAAAAGTTTTAGAAACCGTAACAATACATGGCAATCATTAGATAGGGGTGAATCGTACAAACCATTTTCACTGTTCTATATCAGATTGTAAACGTTAAGGATAGCTTATAACCCGTCAGGATGGAGTCAGAACCATTCAGACTCCAACCAAAACAGATTGCAAATACGGTCAAATGATTCACGTTATCTGATGTTTAATCAGCCGCAGAGTCCTTTCATTTGTTTTTAATGATTCTAGTAAAAATATTCATTCCAAATAATAAAAAAAAAACAATCTTTGAAGCAAATATATAATGGTATTCGTTGTGCGATCGACGGGACGGAACGGAATGTCACTGAATTGTATTCAAATATTCCATGAAGAATGACTATATATAAACCAACAATTCCCTTGGATTAAAGTCTTGAAACTGACAGGGTGTAGTGAATTGTTCTCCTTTTAATCATCTGCTGGATCCTAATACGATTGGCCTCGTCAGAAAGAATGTGAACGCGGTCGTGTACTCTTTGTGATGGATTCTGGTTCAAAGTTGTTACATGCGTCTTTTGTTTTATAATCTAAATGTGCTTGTGGCCGATAAAAATGTAGGGTTTTGTTTGTAGGCATGTTATGACTCTGAATGTCAAAGTCAATATAAAACCGTTTACTTAAAGCCAGTCTCCGAAGGCAAAAAAATGATATGTTGTACAACTGAAAAGGTGCTTAACCACGTATTTACCTCCCGTTTTTAGATATACAAAAATCCGTATCATACCGCTATTTCGTCAAACAGTGTCTTAAAAAATCGTTGTATAACATATAGGTCTATACATTATATCTTTACCGTCGGAAATCATGGAGGAACAAAATATTCCTGGAAATGAACAAAATATGTTTGTGTTCTACTATCTAACTCAACGTTTTTGCATCATTATGCAAAAAAAAATGTGGAATGAATTAAGTAAATTAACGGGTAAAAATACGAAAAACACATATTCTTCTAATATCGAGTGTAATGACTTCAATGATTATTTCACTAATATTGGCGAAGAAATGTCAAAAACCTTTGGAAACAATTTTCCAAAATGGAAAAATCCACCTTGCGAATATTCTTTCTCCTTTGATTATATAAATGTTCATACCATACTTGATAGACTAAAACAACTACCTGAAAAAAATCTTGATGTGTTAGACCTTGATAGTAAACTACTTAGATTAGCGGCACCCTTTATCTCTGTTTCTCTTTGCCACATTTTTAACCTCTCTTTAACTTCCGGCTGTGTTCCGGATGATTGGAAAATTGCGCGGACAACGCCAATTTATAAAGGAAAGGGTAGTAAAGAGTGTATGAGCAACTTTAGACCAATATCCACTGTAAGTCATATTGCAAAGATTGTTGAGAAAGAGGTGCAGGCTCAATTGACTTCCTATCTTATTGATTATGATTTAATCAATATTGATCAATTTGCGTTTCTTAAGAATCACTCTACAGTTACATGTTTACACAGAGTCGTTGATGAATGGCTTGAATGCATGGATGACTCCGAGATGTTTGGAGCATGTTTTTTAGATATTTCTAAGTGCTTTGACACTATTGATCACTCAATTCTACTATACAAACTTGCTAACTATGGTGTAAATCCAAATGCTATTGAATGGTTCAAAAGCTATCTTAAAAATAGAAAACAATTTGTATACTACAATAATAGCAAATCAAAATTGAATTCCATTAACATTGGTGTTCCTCAGGGTAGTGTTCTAGGACCTATTCTTTTCCTATTATTTATTAATGATATTTCACAATCTATCGGAAATTGTATCTGTAGCATTTTTGCTGATGATGTAGTTGTTTACACATCCAGTAACAACGTAACCATAATTAATGATTCATTACAAAATATAATGAACAATGTAAAAAAAATGGTATAATGATAATCACCTTTCCATTAATACTGATAAAACTAAAATAATGCTTCTCAGAAATAATCACTCTAGGACCATTAATAACACCTTAAATATTGTTCTTGATAACACAAAACTTGAACAAGTTTCCAGCATAAGGTACCTAGGAATTATAATTGACGACACTCTAAGTTGGAAACAACATGTGCACAATATTTCTAAAAATGTGGGATTTAAAATCACAATGTTGGGCAAAATGTCAGGGTTTCTTAATAAATCACTATTAGAAACTCTGTACATTATGCTATAACTGTTTGGGGAAATTTGTCCGAACTTAATAAGAAAATTGTTAAAAGACACCAGAGAAGGGCGGCTCGTATTATAACGGATAACTTTGATTATCGAAATATTAGAGGTGATGATATTATTCATTCTTTGTCTTGGCAATCGTTTGAAGAGAGAAGGAATTTTGCCATTGCGTGTCTTATGTATAAATGTATTCAAGGTCTTGCGCCGCAAAGGCTTTTAAATGAAATTGTATTAGTATGTGATAGGCACACACATTCAACCCGTAGTGGGAACTTACTTCGAGTGGTTACACCTAAATTTAACTCGTATAAAATGAGTTCGAGTCTTAAGGTTGCCGGAGCAAAAATCTGGAATGAATTACCTTCAAATATCACCCACTCACCATCAATTTATTCTTTCAAAAAGACTTACAAGGCTCATTTCTTCCCTTAATTGATTTCTGGCCTTGTCTGATTACTATTTAGGTTTTTCTGCTTTTGAAAAGCCGCACCCCCTTATTTGAGGTGGCGCCGAACACTTCAGGAAATGATAATATGGTGTATTCTATATATAAATTTTGACTATGAAATACCGTTATTAATTTCGAAGTGGCTTTAATCCATAAATAATGGACAAAATAATAATTGAGCATGCGTACTGGTACCATTTGTATTATATCGTCATGAAATGGCCAAAATAATCACTTATTCGACAGCGCCTAAAGCGTTCGTGATTTAGATCATTTTTATGGTATGTCAACTTTAACAAAAAGGGAGTGGTTAAGCATTGATTGAAACATGCCAGGCCTTAAAGACCTAAATATTCTTGATATGTTTTAATAATATCAAAGGTGTTGATCTTAATTTCGAACTAAAATCAAATATACAATGCAAGTAAAATGGTAAACATGGACTTGATTACCGTTATATCTTGGTGATTGTAAGAATGTTACACACTACTTTTTTCTAGGTCGAAATGTCTTACGAATGAAAAAATTGACGTTTTAAATATTAACTACATCTTTGAGAAAACCCCGGTGTTTGGAAATATTTTAGTCCTCGTCAGTTTGTTCTCCTCTATTATTTAGATGTCACTGTTTGTATCAAAGGCCTATATTATTGCAGTATATTTCTGTATATAATCTGTCTCGATGTATCAGCACTACAAACAACTTAGTTGAGTGAGTTTATGCGTACTCACTTAGAACCTACCTTTGTATTTCTGTATACGAAATATAATTACACCAGTTGAATTGTTGCGTTTCCTATGGATCCGAGGAGTGGAAAGCTCACACAAGCGCAAAGAGTAGATTAAGTATAATAAATACCGTACAGTTATGAGTAAGTTTTAACCTTCGTTTTATACACAATGCAGTCAAAGGTTTAAAGAATTTATCCATGGAGGAATTAGTTTAGCCTCCATGGTTTATCCAAGGACCACTTACACACAAGATTAGATGACCTGAGTATAAATGCATTGTTTAATTCAGGTTGTGAAGAGTATTTTGTTCCACGTCAATTGCTTTAGTACTGAACAGTTGGGCCTAAATTTTTCCATGGAAAAAACATCGGAATATAAGAAAATATTTATTATTTTGCTAAGAATCTTTATACTAAATGGATCTTTATGGAGTGTCAATAAAACTTAACCGACCAATCCAAATGTGGTATTTAATAGCCAGTGATACGCGCATGTCCCACAAACACGAACGTTTCTTTTACGCTGTTTAAGGTTCCACACCTTAGCAACAATATCCAGGGGGCGGGGTTTGTTGGAAATGACCATAATAGCTTACTATCCTTCACGTTCTTATATACATTAGCGATTAGTACTGTGGCTTTTAATCTTTTGTTACAAAATAAACTTCCGGAAATTAAACTCGCTGAAAATTGTTTAACTTTTAACGAAAGCGTTTCATGTGTGTGGTGGAGTGCGGAAAGAGATTTTGGGAACTTCCTGTGAATTCGACACATTTCGTCTGTGGTGTTGAAGTCATGGAAGCTATCGTATCCGTGTTCGGTTTCATTTAAAATAAATCTGAGGCGTGGTTAGGCCTACATACGTCTTAGTCAGAGAACGTCAGAATTTCCTTTAACAAAATTGACCAGAATTTAAATCCACGTATTGTAGGCATACACAATATTCACATGGTGAACCCGACCGCCATTATTTGTTTAAAATTTTATTTTACTGTAAGAAGGTACCGTATTATTAACCTTCTTCCTTTTGTTGTCTTTAGACTTAGTTAATGGAAGTTAGCCTAATGTTAGGCCTACAGTATTCAAACGGCTTATAAACATATTGTAAATTACAAACAAAAATAATAATACAGTAAATTAAAATATAGAACAAGCCTAAACGCCAGGCTCCGGAGAAAAAATTGTTTTGATATGTTATACAACTGATGTTTCTAATACACAAAAAGGATATTTGACGACAAAATCTGGAACGTTTAATGCGAGACAGATTTTTCAAACTAAAAATTAGGAGAGGAGGGTGGGGAAAGGCGTAACATTTTCTCCATCTGAACCTGGCTTTAAACACAAGCTTTTTATCGTTAACCGGACACTTTTACTTGCACTGTAGTGAGATTATAATATAAAAGTATCGATTATATAGAGAATTATTAAAATGTCGAAATGAAAAATAAACACTAGGACTATATTATGACAATTCAATCAGGATATATCTTTGAAGTGGCTAGGCAAACTCCTTTTCGACTAAAAAAGCGAATTAGGTATTAAATTCATTCTGAATAAATGCAATGAATTAGTAAACGAATATATGAAATAACTGACGAATGAACGAATGAATGATGAATATTTGCACCAGAAATGAAAACATGCTTTATATTTTTTGAACAATCGTCGTACAAATATTCATTATTAATTCTTATAATATACCATGTCAATAGTTAAAAGTCGGGATTTGTCGTGTATACAGTCTGCTTCAACATAAAGAAAGTTACAGGTCTAAAACAGTTTTAGAAACCGTAACAATACATGGCAATCATTAAATAGGGGTGAATCTTACAAACCATTTTCACTGTTCTATATCAGATTGATAACCCGTCAGGATGGAGTCAGAACCATTCAGACTCCAACCAAAACAGATTGCAAATACGGTCAAATGATTCACGTTATCTGATGTTTAATCAGCCGCAGAGTCCTTTCATTTGTTTTTAATGATTCTAGTAAAAATATTCATTCCAAATAATAAAAAAAAAACAATCTTTGAAGCAAATATATAATGGTATTCGTTGTGCGATCGACGGGACGGAACGGAATGTCACTGATTTGTATTCAAATATTTCATGAAGAATGACTAATATAAAACCAACAATTCCCTTGGATTAAAGTCTTGAAATTGACAGGGTGTAGTGAATTGTTCTCCTTTTAATCATCTGCTGGATCCTAATACGATTGGCCTCGTCAGAAAGAATGTGAACGCGGTCGTGAACTCTTTGTGATGGATTCTGGTTCAAAGTTGTTACATGCGTCTTTTGTTTTATGATAATCTTAAATGTGCCGATAAAAATGTAGGGTTTTGTTTGTAGGCATGTTATGACTCTGAATGTCAAAGTCAATATAAAACCGTTTAGTCTCCGAAGACAAACAAATTATATGTTGTACAACTGAAAAAGGTGCTTAACCACGTATTTACCTCCCGTTTTTAGATATACAAAAATCCGTATCATACCGCTATTTCGTCAGTGTCTTAAAAAATCGTTGTATAACATATAGGTCTATACATTATATCTTTACCTTCGGAAATCATGGAGGAACAAAATATTCCTAGACATGAACAAAATATGTTTGTGTTCTACTATTTAACTCAACGTTTTTGCATCATTATTTAAAGATTGCCACACGTACAACACGTCTGTGTTAAATTTATAATATTTTTTCATTGGTCATTTCAAATTGAAATTTTTGGCAGCTGCAATGTAGACCCAGTACGACGAATATAACTTCCCCTGCCTAAATCGCATATGGGGGGGGGGGGTGAGATATTTGAGGAGCCATCGATCAGTCCCGATGCCCGGGTCTTCAGCGCATGTCGAACATTACCTCTCTGCCAATTGCTTACCGTGAGCAATAAGTGGAGCTAATAATATATTTGTCCGATCTTCCGATCCAGTTTCGATTCTGTAAACACCAGATCTGAAGACTGAGCTATTTTACTCTCTAGAAATCTCATGAGACTTATTCAGTACTAATTAACAGCATAAGATAATACTTCTAATTTAAATATAAAGGTAAACAGTAATATATTTAAATAGGAATGCAAAACTTAACGTGGTGGTGCGGAGGTATTTCAAAAGCTCCATCAAAAATACTAATCTTTCATAACATCCTAAATGACTTAAATTTAGGATTTTATGAAAAATACTAATCTTTCATAACATCCTAAATTTAAGTCATTTGTAGGTCTACTGTAACCTATAGGCGTACTTTTGCTATAAAGAATAAAAGTGAACTTACAGGAAAGCTTATAGGCCTATGTAGTTGTTAGACTTATGATGACCAGCCCCCGCTCCGTGACTTGATTTAGACGAGTGGCAATAACAATACCATACAGATTCAAAACAGCGTACACAATCACTTCACAATAGAAGGCTTAATGCTTCACTCGAGGAGAATGTAATCATCCAGCTGTATAGCTAGCAGACTGCCACAGTAGGCTACATATTATAGGCATAATAACAGAATAATAATAATAATAATAATAATTTATTTGGATATGCACTTTTGAATCAGTGGCACTCAACCACAAGTGTGGTGCATCCTAACAACAAGAAAAAATATAAAAATTACAATCAAAAAGAAAGACATCAAAACAACAGGAGATAATTAAATCAGCTAAAACTATAACATAGAGAAAATAGTTCAATTTTCTCTACGACAAAAAGAACATCATCAGTCTCTAGAAGACACGTCTCTCTCCTGCAACATTCGTACGGAAAAAGGAACGCCCACCAGAGACACCCATCAGCCAACTACCTGATCGCAACAGGGCTGTTACAACCAAGAACGCACTCCCGCACAGCAACTACAAAAGAGAGACCTCTCACTACAGATACAATTGATCAAATCGCTACCTGTAGGAGCGGTTTGGGGCTAGTGCTTGCGGTTCTGCTTCTCAACCTTAAGGTCGGTGGTTCAATCCCTCGCTGAGAAATTTGCTTCTTAGTGTCCTAGGCAAGGCACTTACATAAATTTTCCAATCTCCACCCAGGAGTACAAGTACCTGGTAGGTTCAAACACAAAATGCGCTGATTACAGCAGCAACTATCTATGGAATTCTTCCCAGGGAGCTGATGTGTTCCACGTGCTTGATCCAATGACGGGAGTAATAATGTGCAGGCATTACGAGCTATATAAACTTAACATATTATTTTCTAAATATGATTGTCATTGCATTTATACAAGTCTTTGCATTTCGCGTTATTGCAATTTTATCAGTTTTAAAAACATAAACGCAAGCGGTGTTTTGCTAATAGAATACTGTTTTTATCAATTAAGAACAGATATGCCCTACTTCATTTTATTACTAACAGTAAATATTAATATTCCTATATCACATAGTGTGTAAAGTAGTGGCCCAAATTTGTAATTTGTAGGATACCAATAATTAATGGCGGATCCAGGAATTCGAAATAGAGATTGGTGGGGAGGGGGGATGGCAGAAATCGATTTTACAGGTGAAGGACCGAAATGTTATGTTATGGCACTTCCAGATGACCAGAAATGGTAGTAACAGACTAAAATTATGAATGTCATTTTTTTTTTCGAAAATTGTGAATTATTTTGGGTGGACACGGATCCCCTCCCCTCCCCTTCATTGAATCCACCTATGAAATGAAAAGTCCAAAGTCACATTCGTAGACATTATCTGAGTGGTGCACTAAAATAGCCAAAGTTAAAATATGATGATACCCTCCGTCAAAAAGGTGTTCGCAACTTGCTCACAGGGAACAAATACAAAATGCTGAGGAGCATTCTACTATGACAACATGTCCAGCAGGATACACAATAACTGACCAAGAAAACAGAATGGCAACCAGAATAAGCAAAGGTAAAAGAGGCAGGCCAGACGATATAACAAAAAAAAAAACATCAAACACTGGACGAAGGCAGTAAAAGATTACCATTAAAGGATTAAAGAATTAATGTCCTACTGAACTTCCAGATCCGGAAGATGATGCTGTTGAAGATAATAAGGACTATCCAAATTATTTGGACCCCAATAACTTTCTTCAGTATCGAGTACACAAGGTGTTAACATTTGAACAAAGCGATAGCCTATTTTTTTAAATAGTTTTTGTAGACTCGAGTATCTTGGCCTTAAAGCCAATAACTGCGTGTCTTTGAAAGGACAATACAAACGTAATGGCTGAATGAACTATTATAGTATTGTATTGTAGAATACAAGGCTTTTGCTGGAAAGGTAAATAGTTAAAACAATTGAATTTGCAATGGAGCAGACTTGAAATGTACCTGTGGTCTACGTCAATGTAACGCAGGGGCGTATTTTGCATGAAAAAGAAATTTGATAGTCAAAAACGCCTCAGAGGTTATTCCGGTCGTCTAGAAAACGAACATTTCGGATAACACTTTTATAACAGTGGCACACGTTAGACAAATGCTAACGGTGCATCCAGAAAAGAACAAAGCAACAGAAATAAAAAAATTAAATTCTTAATTATGAGAAATTTACAGATAACTCAAATAACATTATTTCCCCCACCAATCAAATTAAACACTTCAAATAAACTACAAACAAAACAAGAATGACTGGTTTGAAAAGTCGTGCAAAGCAAACCATGACGCTAACCCACCCCGCAACGGCCCGAGCCGACGCCAACGGTCCCCCGCCAGGTAACGCAGCCAGCCGAATGCTAGCCGTCCTCCCTGTCGTTGGATGTTGTTCGAGGGAAGACCACCAGCACCCAGACAGCCCCACCACCCAAACAGCCCCACCACCCGACGAAGGTCCGACGTCATCGGTCCGAGAATGCAGCAGAGCAAGCCAACAGCCTGGTTACACTTTGAACGAATTTTCAGTCAGTATACAGTACATAAATAGAAACCAAATGAAATAATTTGAACATTTAAGAATATAAAAACAAAATTTAAATTAAATTAAATTAGAATTAAAAGAAAGCGTTTATGCTCTACATACAGTATAAGTATGCACGCACAGGAATTATTACACAAGCTTAATGCTTGAAAAATCAAATATAATACTGTAATTACACAACAGCACAGATAAAACTTAAGCTACAAAAATTTAAATAAGTCACATCTCACTGGTGTTTTCACTGCTGTCCCAGACGCAACCAGGGAAGCTCCCTGATTCAACTGACCAATCAGCGTCGCCAAAGGAGTCGGCGATAGCGTGTAGTGTTTTTTTTTTTTTTTTTTATAGAAACTAAGCTTTAGTTGTTCAAGATAAATTATTATTATGATACTATATGTGACGTCGTGTTTGCTGTGACTACTGTATGTGTAGTATTAATACAAGGAATTAAATAAATCGTTTCTACTGGACTTAATTGTTTATTCAATAGCGATATTTCACGTCCAATCCAGGACGCGCCATCATGCCAACTGGTTTTTCTGTGGCTAAAGGTCGTACAAACGACAAACTTCCGTCGATCGAACCTATATACACATTAGTACACAAAACAGTCCAATACAAAAGTGTTAGAAGACTACTTTTTTTACTTTATTTATTTCCTTCACATCCAACAGCAAGTACACTCGCCACTTAAAGAATGGAACGACAAAGAGGCCTATGGAGTAAAGTTTTTTTTGTCGTGAGAAAAATTCCTGCTGTGACAGAAATTGAACCCAGGACCATGGAATCAGAAGGCAAGCACCTTAACCACTCAGCTATTCAACTCCATCCCACTTACTGAGGCCAATTTGCAGTTGTGTCCTCAATCTATGTTTAGGTCTAATACTGAATATAAAATTGATTAAAAGTACATTATCAATAAATCGACGGTATTTTATCTAATATGAATTAATAGAATACAAAGAAAACTTTAAAACATTAATGAATTATACTACATCAGCTTCCAGCATCACATTACTTTAATAATTTGATGAATAGTATTTGCGAAAAAAGAGGCTTTATACATATTAATATATAATTACCATACTGTTGGCCAAAAGGGGCGGATCAGGGTTGAAATTTCGGAGGGGTCAGAATGTATCCAAAAAACCTTAAAAAGAAAGGGGGTCCTCACACAGGAAAATTTTTATTCCTAGATGGTGCTTTAATGACTTTTAAGTCATTAAAAGTTTGTCTTCCCTCTCTTGAAAACGATTCAATGAATCCCGACTTCTAATTTTCCCATTGTAACAACAAAAATTTCAGCTCGCAGGTTTAGAATTTTTTCTTTTTTTTTCTCAAGAGGGGGGGGGGGGGTGTCAGGACTTCCCTGACACCCCCTCCAGATCTGCCAATGGCCTATATTAAAAACATATATAAGCGCCATTCTCCAATAAGCACCGCTCTTCAATAACCCCCACGCAAAACCTGATTTTTTTCGCTAATCGAGAGTACTGTATACTGTATATTACCCTGTGTGTAATGAAACACTTTGAGAAACAGGGTTTAATACAATGCCTACGGTGTTAAAATGAACAAATAACACAATGAACTACAGAAATATGTGTGATAGGTAATACTGGAACGGCCATCGAAAGCGCCGCGCCAACATTTTCTTATAAGCGCCACACTAAAGCCTATAAACATTTTATAAGCGCCGCGGCGTTTATTCGGGCATTTACGATATTATTTACAAAAAAGGGAATGTTTTTTCTAATTGCCAAATTGATTTCTTCAGATTTATTACTAATTTTATCGAATATTAGTTAACAATATAACTTAACAGCTTGAAAATCAATTAAGTCATTATCTTCCAATGACGTACATATCAATATAAACTCCGCCCTTTGGATGTTGTTCCAAAGACCCTCAAAACAATCGCGTAAATGTAGTCTGTGGTGCAAAACACGTGGTCCTATTCTGATTGGTCAACTGTTAAATTTGACACTCCGGGAAAGGTCCATTCTTCGCTGACTACAAATGTTTTACCATGGAGGAATTAGTTCAGTTTTCTAAACTAATTCCTCCATGGTTTTACTAAGAAACTTCTTAAACGTATTGCACGCCAATTTAATGGTCTATGCCAAAGAATACAGGAACTGAACTATTGTACTACAATTCTAATAACTGGAAGAACGTTTTTTCATAACATATATATAATAACTTTTAATTAAAAATAATAACTTACTCAAATATACAAAGTGAGTTTTAACTATTAAGTTATTAACACAATCCAGGTCCAGAGTGTGACGAAAGAAGCATTAATGTAATTAACAATAAATATAGACATATGTATATATAATTTATATATTATGTATGTGCATATATAAACAATAGTTGTATTTACAATTATGATACAGTTTTAAGTACTGAAAAATGTTAATACAAAAAAATTATATTTATTTTATTATCCTACGAAAGTGAGTGATTCAACACTTGGTGATTCTCTAAAATTAAAGCTATGTTCACATTGGAAATTATTTTCAGAAACACACGGGCAACTATACTTTGGCTAAAGCTGTTCACACTTGAATTAAAATAGTCAGTTTAATCATTCTGTGGTATGTTTAACAATGCGTGTGGTATTAAAACATGCTCAGGAAGATCCAACCGAGCATCACTGTTCACATTAGACTTTTTTTCTGGTTAATCTTGCTAAGTTTGTTCCTCTATGGTTAAACCAGAGTATAGAATTGCAAGAAGTCTGACTGCAGTGATTTTGTATGCTCACAATAAAAAGTATAAAGCAGAAGTACTACCACGAGATAGGGGGCGCCCTATTAGTATTTGAATAGAGTTAAAAACTTGCATTTTGAAGGACGCCCTCTAGTTCATGGTAGTACTTTCTGAAACAGGATTACGTTCAAACGGAACCCAGAGAGTCGGGCCTCTCGCAGTTTTTTCCTCAATGGTTAAACTTACGACAGGAAATTTGGTCAAGGGGAGTTTTATGCAGTTTGTTCACACTGGCTTTTTTGTTTGGTCATCTTGACCAGGTACATGATAATAGCTAGAGCAGTCACTCCATAGAGTGCATACCTCCACTCTGTGCCTGAATACAGTATCAACAATACGCAAGCAGTGTAATGGGCGAACTGCAGCATACCCTCAATGAAATAATGAAATTTCCCTCGTGTTTTAGGCACATTGTTGTCTAGAGCAATGCCTGAATTGTGGGGTGAATCCATTATTTGTTTATGCTAGGATAATAAATCAAATTTCCCTGACCCTGACCTTGTCCTTTGAACTTTTCTTCCGAAAATTGAATGGTGTCTTTCTTCGATTATTATGTACCATTCCACTATATTTTATGATGATCCTATCTTGCTAACAGACAGACAGTGAATACGTAACCTACTTGGTGGAGGTAATAATACAGGAATATATACAGTGCCTTTTAGTTTTATAAATCAGGATAGGGCTTAAATCTCACTTAGTGTTTTTATACTTCAAAATATATTCATAATTATGGTATTGTTTTATAAGGATTAATGAAGAATAGATCTACAATAATGCTGAAAAAATGAATTAAATATTTTGATTTACTGTACTGTTGTATTACACTATATGATAATGTGGACTAAATCTAGAATCGAATGCTTGATCAACATTTAACTTGAGTCAAGGTGAATGGAATTGTTTTGGCGGGGTTCTTAATGCATGTACAGGTACTAAGACATAAGACATAGTATGTTTATATAATATAAAAAAATGATATAATGATCGTTTTAGACTGAAAGCCCAATCATCCTTAACAGTTACATTGGCTCTGGGCCACCATTTTTTTAAGTGTAAACAATCAATAAATTCTAAGCCAGCTCAGAGCCAACCTAAATTAAGTCAGACTTTAGAGTCAGCTCGGGTCCTGCAATGCAGGACTTGGGCCGACTCATCATCATATTTGAACGTAAACTGAACCTGGGTCGCTCAGTTCGCTTTGATACAATAGTATTTCAATATAATTGAACCTGGGTCGCTCAGTTCGCTTTGATACAATAGTATTTCACGCAAAAACCCGGCACAAAGGAGGAAGTGTGAACGCCTGAGTGGACTTAAAACACTAATTTCGAATGAAAAGTCATTTTGAGCCGGCCGTAGTTAAGGTGGCCCTGGGCCGATATAATAAGTATGACTGGGCTCAATGCTACAGTTGATAACGTAATGAGAATGATATTACATGGAAAAAGCTGTCTTGACGATGTGTAACGTTGATACTCAGCAGATGATGAGGAGAACAGTCAATGAGATGAATGGTGATGATCTTGGTTGGAGGTGAATCGATGAAGAAAAATCTTATTTACAGAAGACCACAATTCTGAAAAAATAAAGAGTCCAGTGTATGTGTTACATTCAAATGTCATGAATTTTAACAATTATTAACAAATACAAAAATAAAGGCATATTTGATATGATATTTATTTGCACCTCAATAAACATAATTAACCCTTTAAAATAAAAAAAATAAAATACTAAAAAAAAAAAATTCAATTTAAATTCATTCATCAAAAACATTAACACTGTAATTCAAATCCATACTAATAAAAGTTCAATCTTAAAATCACTATTTTAATAAAATAATTTTTTAATCATCAAACTCTTAAATATAAAATAGCCTCAAAAAAGTTTTTTTTAAATATCATTATTACTCAATCAAATAAATGATAGTAAAAAAGAGGGAGAACAGAAAAGCAAAATACATATACTGTACAACATACATAACAATCACAGAATCCACAATCTTGAATACAGTGGTTAAAACACCAAATTTTTTCAGTGACAAATGAGTGTGCACAGAGTTTGATGGTTCTTTGTTCAGTAGGGATAAAAGCGAAGTAATTTAAAGGGAGAAGCCCATAAAATATTTAGTTGTGTGGGAAAGACAACGGTGGCGGATCCAGGATTTCAAATAGAGGGGGCCCAGAGAGAGACTTTCACAGATGGAGGGTCTATGCTATTTACTATTGAAGTTGCGCGGGTCAGGGCAATCGAAATAGGATGTCCAGGGAGGTAAGAAAATTTATGATTATGGCACCTCTAGATGGCTAGAAATGGCACTCTTATACTCCAAATTTGAGTACAATTTTCGCTATGAAGCTTACGGTATGCAGACTGTAATGGATCATAATGGTCATATTCATGAAGATATCGTGCAAGTTCACCTGCAACAACAACAAACTTTTCAATTATTTTTGCGAGGAACGGGGTATTTGTAACAGGACGATAATTGTACCTGTCTCTTATACACATCTAGATGTGTATAAGAGACAGGTCATGCACTAGTTGTGAAACTTTGTAGATTCTAATGAGGATCCACTAAATTACATGTGATCCTCTATACAAATTACAAGAAAAAAACAATTAAAACTTTTGAATTTTGAACTACAAGTATAGAATAATTATTAAAGTTTTGTTGGCTACATTTGAGTAATACAATTGCAAATATGTTACATGAATAACTTTCTTTAATATTATTATTACCTTCATTATAAATATTATTTTTAATATGATGATTGTAATATAATGTAATTTAGTTCAATTTATTTGACTTCAAACGGTCATGGGCTTTTATCTGCATGCAAATCTTGTAAATTTCAATACAATACAATCTTCATAACAAATACTGTAAATATAATTATATTTATATACAGATAAAAAAGAGCAAAAATTATATAAATGTGTCTCATAAATGTTCGAACAATTACATATGTGGTAAAACAATAAATTCATTGACATAAATCCAATAACAATTCATCTTGACTTATACAAGCTTCTGTCAAGTTATCAACATGACTTTATTAGGTTGTTACCATAAGCTACAAGGATTTCTTCACACAAAAACACCCTCTGTTGGCTGATCTAGTCCATTCTGATTCAATCATCCCGGCCAAACAAAGATTAATACTATTTTGTGCGAGATTGTGAAATTACCCCAGCGACAAAGAAATGAGGATGAACATAGGTGCACTGATGTGGACATGTGGTACCCATGGATGGACGGTTCTATTTCTTTGTAGGGGTGGAAATTTAAGGGGAAAAAAATGGCAATAATCAGTTTATCCAGATTTGTATTTAAGAAATACATTGTAAAAAGGTCCATTGTGTGCTATGATCTTCAATCCTTAATTTTGTCTGGAATTGCTACAAGTAGGTGTGCATGCTCAGGACTCATCTCTTACTTTGTTCATGTTGTCCCGCCTCCATATCCACAACCTTTTCGAGGAACTTTAATGCATTGTATCTCTTTCTTCTGTCCATCACTAACAAAGTGGTGGGTCTTGACCGAGCACCTAATTAGGACGGACGACGCCAAAATAATTAACAGGAAACCGACTTGGGACAAGTGCACAAGATATACAAGATGATGAAGGCGCACATGATGATGGGGCACACTGACTATCTTTTGATTTGACAATATTGTGATGTCGTCATATTCAAATGACAAAAGCTTCAATGAATTAAGATCAATTATGATTGGTTTTTATGTCAATTTATTTATTGTTTTAAATATGCATTATTCTTTAAACAATGCTCAAAATTATGATTATTATTATCATTAATATGATTATTATTATGATAAGTAAAATCATTATCAATAAATGTCCTTATTTTTACAGTATTAAGTATTTAATTATTATTTTATATATTAATTTCCTCAGTAATACAGTATATGTCTATCTATTTATAAAGTAAAAATGGGTAAAATATGATACCATAGATTTACTTGTTAGTAAAAAAAATTATTATAGTATTTTATATTTATATGAATAACAAGTGAGTAACCTATCAACTAAATATAATGTAAAACTATCAACAATAATATGTTTGTGAACTAAATGACTATGCTTACTTAAGATAACACACACTAACAATGACAAGTATATTAGTAAACCAACAGATACAAGAAATTATAGATGATGAGAGAGACTTTATAAAGATAAACAGGTAGACAGTTACTGCCGACAGGTAAACAGATACTGTCGACAGGTAGACAGAAACTGTTGACAGGTACATAGAGTGGTAGACGGTGTTTTATAATTTTTATTATATGAAGTTGGATAAACGAGAGATAGATGTATAGATAGAGAAATAGACAGACATGTTGAAGATTGAGAGGTCTATTCATCAGACTAGGGAATTCACAAACCATGTTTGTACAGGTGGAAAGATGAAGTTAAATAGATGATGAGATATAAAAATAGATAATTCACATCTGCAAAGATATGTGGCACCAGACATTGAGATGCACAAAAGTACTCACACAGCATTTAACACAGGATGAGCACAAAAATCCACAAGAACAAAAAGCACTGCTTGGGTTCTGAAATGGTCAGTACGTCCACATGCATTATGATGATTAAGTAATGATGTTACACAATCTTGCTCATGAGCATCCACTCTAAAAGTGGTCACTGAGGCTGCACTCAGATTATATTTGCGTACTTACATCAACCATTTCAACCGGATTTATTGCCACTCGTTGTGATCGTTCTAGTACAGGAGCGATCTTCTCTTCTATCTTGTATCCCATCAGGTCTTTGCGTGAAATCATTCCCACTACGCAGTTCTGATTATCTACCACGGTGAGATGACGAAGACCGAGTGTACGGAATATTATATATGTCCGGTGGAGCGAAAATGAGTTGGGAATGCATGGTGCGGACATATTTATGTATGGTTTCTAAAAATAGAACAGAGAAATCTTAACTTAATTATGCATGTTAAGATCACTGGCATATTTAAGCACGATGGAAGCCCACAAAAACATTATGTACCCCTCTCCCACCACCAATCCAGGTACCCACACTGTTAACTTGCTAAGCAAACAAATTACACTAAAGTAGTTAGAAATCACCTCATTTCTCCAAGTAGCAGCTCAGTACCCCAGACTTTCCCATCATTTCCCCATAGCTTTCCCCAACCTCCCCCACTCATAATGTTAATACCAGGGGCGGATCCAGAAATGTCCGAAAGGGGGGCCCCCGATGTCCCCGAAGGGCGGGGCGATCGATAGACAACAATACCCCAGGGGGTCCGGGGGAATTTCCCTGGAAAATTTTTGTCTTTTAGACGCCCAGAAATATGCTCTGAGCCGTTGTGGCCGATCAATAATTTCTTTTTCTTTCTTTTCCCTTTTTTTAGCTTTCTGAAGGGAAGGAGGCTGGGTCCAGATGCTCCCCCAACCTTAAATCCGCCCCTGAATACATATACAGTCGATAAACCACTGATATAATACGCCTTCATGCATTATTCCTTGGGGAAAAATAGGACAAGCATTGCCAAAAAAAGGGAATTGAGGTCATTATCCCAGGAATATCAATCATTCTTATTATTCTATCAACAATATTAATTTTTAAATTTTTTTTGTACCAGGTCAATAGTTAGATTTTGAAAAAGATCCTCTTCACAATACTGATGCAAACGCTCCTCCAAAAGTTCTGCGTTTTCTAAATTCTCTACAGCAACCTAATAAAATAAAAAAATATTTAAAATGTTTGATAAGTATATTGTACTTCCATGGTGATTAATAATACCGTAATAATGGAAATGATATACAAAATAATAAAAAATATAATAATGATATACAAAATAGTACAAAGATTGATTTTATATATAACCCACTGAAAATAGGCCCCTGGGCTTTATTGGGTTATCCTGGACAATCCCATCATACTTTATCTTTATATTTTTCCAATTTGAGTATGTTTGATGACTTTCTGAATAAACTCAAATTCAATAAAAGCGAATGGAAATATAACTAGTGTAGCAACGTTAGTATAAATCCCAATATAAATGACGAAAAACATTGCCCTCTAATGCTAACATTAATTTATAATTATTCTCAAGCTTCTGTTCACACAAATTTTTCAGGAGAGAGAAACAGCATACCAGTGTTTTGATGAAAACGTGCTTGTGACAAAAAAACTCAAATAACAATAGCGGCACCAATATTTTCTGTTGTTTAATTTTGTATTTACGATAGAACAGCCGACTCGTCTTACCTGTTGGTAATCTAACTTAGGAATTTCTATTTGATCATCTTGTGCTGCGTCTGTTCGCTCAAACAGTGATTCGTGAGAGAGTAAAATACACAGTTCGTTTCTGTTGAAATAACGAATGTTATGTTCATAAGAGTATAAGTCAGTGGGATGGTATAAAATATGACACAATTGTATACCGACTCAGTAGACCAATTGCCAAAGTAAGGCTGTTTAATTCTCAGCAATTTTCATGTACCCTTTGCCAAGGGCGGATTTAGAGGGGATCTGGGCTGCTTCCCCCCTCCCCAACCTTTTTGAAAAAAAAGAAAAAAAAAAAGAAGGAAAGCAAAAATAATTGATTACCCAAAACGCCTCACAGGTTATTTTCAAGCGTCTATAAAACAACATTTTGCTGGGACATGACCCTGGATCCGCTAGGGTACTGTTGTCTTGATCAGCCCCCCCCCCCTTTGGACATCTCTGGATCCGCCCCTGTTTGCAGCAAGCTCAGCAGGCCCTTCACTTACTCCACACTCACTTTTAAATATGCTGCTTAATATTATTATTGTTAAATACAATACATTAGTTGCTTAATCTTTTGCCATCATGAAATATTACAGGTTCTGAATCAAGAAACGGAATACATTTGACTTCAAGAAGGGCGTGGTAGATGGGATGGGTAAACGCATCTCCAACCCACTTAGCGACCATAATAGCAACCATGATTGGAAGCAGAAACTGAATGTCATTAGTGATCTCCATCTAAAAAAAAAAAATGAATTTAAATATCATTAGAAAAAAGATAATTTAAAATAGACAGAATTACTGTATAAAGAGCATTTGATTTATTTCACATTTAACAACATATACACTAGCCAATTACAGTACGGAATAAGGCTCTAAAATGCCTATATTGAGGCTTTGAGATTGGGGTTGTTTTAGTCGTATAAGGCAATCCACATATAAGACGACCCCCAAGTTTGGGATGATTTTTTGCATGATTTTATTATGTTGGGTGCATAAGATGACCCCCCCCCCACGTTTCACTGTTGGAATTCTGACTTTTCACTGCTCTTTATGGTCTTCATACTGTATCTAGCTCGCTAAAAACGGAAACCAAATTTAGGGCTAATCTTCCATATGCTGTAATACCATTTTACGGGCTTTTAAATGTTTATAAAATTTTATTCCACCGCATTTAAAATTGCATTTATTCACTCTAACAGTTTTAGCTTCATTCAGTAGTAACTCTGCATGATACAGATGATTGGCACATAAAGACGAACATGGTACAATTTGTATGGGTTACGCGTATAAGACAACCCCCTGTTTTTCGATAGTACAGTAATTTGGTATTTAAAGCCTTGTCTTATATGCAAGAATATACGGAACTGGTATCACAATACTTGAACTCAAAACCTTCAGAGACTGCAATGCAACCTGTTCTAAATTGCATCTACACTAAAAAATATTTGAATAAAATATATATTGTAATATGCCTGTGAACAATTATTTTTTTTAGATTCTATGGATCAATATTTATGATTGTATTACCATGATGACTGTAAGAGACATTGTCAGGCGAGATACGCCCCCAAAAAATGATGCAGCACCAATGAGGGCGAACGCTCCTGGATCCATCCACGCCCAATAGGAATCAGCTGTCGAATGCACACCAAACAATGTTACCATCACTAAACCTATTATCCGACCATAGAGGGCGCCAATGTATCTAATGAAAGAATGAAAGGGACAATAAAAGAACTTCAAATTAACTGATTATTAAACATAATTTTTAAATTAATTACTGTGACAGATATCAATGCAATGAATTAACTGTAATTTAGACAAAATAAACCCATAGGTACAAAATACAAAATATAAAGATAAATTATAAGAGGAATTAAAGACTACTATGAATCCCCATCAAAGTTTTTAAAACTGTTTTGTTCACATTACTATTCGAACAGATCCAGTTTTGCAGGAAAATTAAATGTTGCCCAAAGTCATAACTGACTCTGGTAGAAGAAGATTTATTTTTCGGGGTTCTCAAATTTGAAATACGGGGGATAGGTAATTCTTATTCATCATTCTTCTATTTAATGATTTTTTTTTAAATATTTTGTGTTGTTATCCATGTCATTCTTAATGTTTTATACATAATGGGCCCCTTGGCAAGAACAGTAACATTGTACTGAATCAGTAACCAAGTATAAAGAACAAATAAATAAATAAACAAATTCACAAATAACAAAAATACTTACAGCATAGGTACAACTAATCCACTGGAAATGGATGGTCCACAGCTCCAACAAGCCATGATGAAATAAAATATAAGTACCGTAAACAGAGGGCCAAAGGTGAACTCCCAGTGTGTTTCCCGAGAGAAGAGATGGTGGATAGCCTCTTCACCAGTCACAAACAATAAGGTGGCAACTACATACATAAAAAAAATATATTGTAGTTTTAAGATTCAAATTCGAGTAATAAAGAAATGTAAATAAAATAACTTATTGGTTTTAGTTGAGTATTAATTAGAAGATCTGCCAGTGGCAGATACTGAGGAGTAAGTTTCTGGTAATGAAATGGGCAATATCTCAGGATCTTGCTCCTTTAAAAAAATTGTACTGAAATGTTCAACATGCACATGCACGCCAGATGGCGTCACCCCAGAGTATAACTGGTAATAAATCCAAACATTTTGTGACATTTTGTGAGTGAAGTTGCTTTAAATTTTTGTAACTATAATCCTGTTCATTTAATTGAACTATTGAACCCAAAACCACAATATTGAAAAATGAGCGCTTTAACTACCAGACCGCATAATACCCAAAACTCACCCTGATTGAATGTATCATTTGAGAATGTAATGTTCTCGCCTTCTCTTATGACAGTTCCTTCAGGACATGTGTAGTGGCTGACACTGCTTTCGGTAAACCCTGCGGCAGAGTCCAAACATTTAAGACTAAATTCTTTCGAAGGTCTTGAATAAAACAGAAATTTGTAAAAGGGTGTAGAATAATGAAATAAAGAAACTTCAATTTATCAGCTTATTAAGAAAGACTATCAATTTATGAGAATGATTAGGATGGCCATCTATTTAGCAGCATGATAAGGATGACCGTGTATCACCATCATTTGATTGGCCATCTATTTAAGGCTATGATTAAAATGACCATCTATTTAGCACCATGACCATCAATTTAGTCCCATAATTAAGATGACCATAAACTTAGCACCATGATTTGGATGACCATCAATCTAGCAACATAAAAGTAATAATATATGAATTTATGTCGCACTGGTTATGTATTTATCATTACCCAAGTTGGTGATTGAAATATCTCAGAAAAGTTTTTCTTACTTTGCATTCTCTTTTTCATAGTAACATGTTAGAGGACTACAATCAAATGCAGCTGGTAAAAACACACTGGCTGTTGCTACTATTGTCTACAAAGAAAACAAAATTCATTTTTAAATATGCAATACTGTATATCAGCTTTTATATTTTATAAACTTGCATGTTAATGTAATAATGTAGCTTGAAGTAAACAGTTTTTCATTACTATATTTCTTTTCAGTGTTTTTGAAAGTTTTAAATTACAAGTACAGTGCACCCTCCAATCCGAGACCCCTCTAATTCGAGACCACTTTTCCAAAGACCTAAATAACAATCCTCAACATTTTGACACATAGCTAGCCATCTAAATGGAGACCAAACTCCGAGACCACCCAAAATTTATAGGTCTCAAGGGTGGTCTCGAATTGGAAGGCAAACTGTATATTTATATTACTTATCAGATAAGAAAATAATTTGTCCATACTGAATAGGTTAAAGTTTTTGGATGTGAATAAAATAAAAATACAAGATCACAGTCATGACTTACAATAATGATACAGGGTTCGAGAAGCCTAACAAACTTCTTCTTCAGTGGATCCCCTATTTTTGCTAACTTGGCTCTCCGAAATCTTGCCATCTTAAGATTACAAAATACAAACAGGCCTCCAAGAACGCCACCAATTACACCGATAATAACAGTCGGGAAGAACATAAGAATGTTTACATCTAAGCCTTCGCGAACCTGTAAAGTAATGAAGGTCACATGTTATCAACATATACGCATTTAGAACGTGGATGTAAATAGCTGGTCTTTAATTCTAATTCCTGCAAAATGCTATGAGTTTCCTTTCACATTATACTAAAAACAACCACACTGCCTAAGCCTCATAAACAAAACTTATATCCGATTCACACAAGACAAAACACTACATGCAATGTAGACTTAATGTTAAATTGATTTCCTAAGATTTTTTTTTTTTTGAAATCGCAATTCGTCTTCACATAAGTGAGTCCAAGCCTTACTAAAAGGTGGTACAACTGATACGCATACAGTGAAGACGTGTCATGTATACGTGACTGCAGCATCACATGTCACGTGTGACGCTGTAGTAAAAGATAATCTACACAGTGCCCTGTGAGCATTCGCAGAGATACATCCTACAGTAAATGTTTAGGGTTTGCATTTATTACACATATATTACACTGGACAATGTGCTAATCTTGCCATCCGAAAATAGCACCAGTGACCCAAAATATGAAAATTAACTTTTTAATACATTTTTATTCTCCACATTATAATAAGCTTCAAAATGATGGGTCATTTACTGGAATCAACTTACTATTGCTAAAGTTATGAGTAAAAGTACTACAGCTTCTCTGTACTAAAGTATAAAAGCCTGCACATTCTTATGCTAATTACTCAGTTTAGCAATAGCGACAGTCTCATGGTTTCGGGATGGCGTGCCTCATATTTATAAACATTCACACGGATGCGATGGAGCAGGAGATGCCTAGAAAACTGTTTCTGGCATGCGCCCTGTATAAAATTTTGAATTGGGTATATGACTTTATCACAAAGTTTCCTCCTGTAATTTTTGAGCGTACTTGCTACTGAATCAGCAAAAATTAAACATAAAATTTTACCTGGAAAAGAATGTATTTTTCTGATGTGAATAAACCGAATTGTCCCTGGTAACGAAAGGCTTGGAATGCTGAGTTGAACAAATCTGTGGTAAATGTTGATATCATACAACAGAAGAAAATTTGCCAAGAGAGTTTCATACTCCAGAAAGACGACACCTCCTCCATCGCAAACAGCAGACCCCCGACAGGTGCGCCAAATGCAGATGCCACACCTGCTGCTGATCCCGCCGAAATAAAGTTGCGTCTAGAAGATATAAACAGACAAAATGGTGAAAGTGAATGAAAATACAATGTGATGTGTAAAGTAAACTATGAATACATTAGATAATTTCTCCACTGGCAGAGAAAATTTACTGCAAATTATCATCATGGACTATCAACAGACTATAATATCAATGGTTAAAATTATTCAACTTTTCAATATTGTTTTATTAGAATACATGTTCTGACATACCTGTCTTCAGGATTGCGGAATCGTTCAAAGAATGGCAGAGTGCAACCTAATGTTCTTGACTTAAACTGACTCAATCCTGATCCAATCAAAGATCTGAAAATGCAAGGATATATAAAGCATAATGAGCAATTAAAAATGAATAAAAAAATACAAATGACTATAGAGCATAAAAGTAACTGTTTATTGCTTTTTATTTAACCATATAATGATGATTTTGATGATGATAATGATAACGTAGATAATGGCAATTATGATGATAATGACAATGATGATGACAATGATGATGATGATAATGACGATAATGGCAATGATGATTTTATTTTATTTATTCTTTCTTTATATTGTAGACACTTTCAGTACTATTACACTGATTTTAAAAGTGGTACAGTTTAATCATAACAAATAAATAACATATATACAACATAATATGATGATAATGATAATAATGATGATGGCAATGATGACGATGATGATGACAATGATGATGAATAAAACTACTTCAAACTATTCTTCCTATTAGATGAGAATTAAAATAATAAGTCTATTTACCCCATGTGAATCATGGGTCCTTCTGGGCCAACAGGTAATCCACTGCTAACAGCACACAAGCAGGAGAAAAACTTCACTATCAATGTCTTAATATTGAAGATGTTTCGTACCAGCGTACCATTCAGAAAACCGATTAATTCCGGCATTCCAGACCCAGCAGCAGATGGTCTCAGGAACTGTAAGACAAATAGAAAAATTCAAATTTTTTCCTTGTCGCACAATCTCAGTATGATAAATACTGTGAGTATACGAATGTATGTAAAAGTAATACACATAAAGCCTCAAATGCATAAGAGAGGCAGGTCCCTTCACCCCTACCCTTCTCCATTTAGCTCTACATTTTTAAATTTCAATGCATGCCGATGCCATGTATTGAAATAAGAAGTAGAATATACAAAATATTTCAATAGGGCCTCTGGCCACATCAATTTGCCACTGCTGCTAGCGCTCTCCACTTAACTCTCATAATTTGGTTCCCACCACCCCCTCCACTCACCACCCCCAGTTTGAGAAATTTAGATCTGCCCCTGTAGGCGCTTTCACTTACCACAACAATACTACTACCAATGAGTACCAATGCAAGACTGATGCCATACAACCAGCCCCAAGACTTGATGTAGCTTTCCTGCAACAAAAATATATACAAATATATTTGTTTATTTGTTGATTTCCTTCAACAGCAATTTTACTCGTCACTTACAAGATGGAATGATGCTTTGTAAACAAAGTCTCTTATTGAGGCTTAGGGAGTGGAGTTGATTTTTAAAAAAAGTTTGTGCTGTGATAGGAATTGAACCGACCCTGGGATTACAAGGCAAGCATCTTAGCCACTACGATATTCATCTCCACTCCACTATACTGTATATAAATACAAAATAATATAAATGATAAACACATGCCATTGACAAATCGAAAACATGCCACTGATGTATATCTTGTAATTTGTGGGTGTAGGGGAACTTTACTGTTTCCTGTGATTGGCTCATTAACATATCGAAGTTACCAAAAATAATTAAAGAACATCAGAATTCCCCAAAACTGAAGGCCAATCTCCGACCCTCCTGACACTGTTTACCAAGTAAAAGTAATTTGATCCGACCCTCCTGACACTGTTTACCAAGTAAAAGTAATTTGATTTGATATGAACAAAATTCTGACAAACTATAATAATTCCATGGCAAAACATGTTCTAGTATTTATATACTTGATTCACTTTTCAGATTTATCTCAATTAAATCTCTCTCTTCTTTTCACATCAAGATATGTTAGCTAGAAAAAAAGAAAAAAATAGAGTTTGGTTCTAAAATTGATAAATTTATTGGATTTATAACCAGATAAAACTATTCAGAGATTTATGTAACAAATTGTTGAGGCATATCACCATACATACCTTCAGATATTCTTCTGTTTTTTCCCATTTATAATCTGATATAAGATCAATAGCTTGATGTAACAGAAAGCCTATGAAACCTGTAGAAAATCCAATGAATGCCATCATTAGCCAACGATCCCACTCCAACCTAGAAATAGAAACAAACTTCAAATAAATTTTTCCGCAATAAATTTGTTAACCTAGCTGTCACTAACAGGCTATTCTGCCTTTTATTGGGTGCAATTTTATACAAGACTAAAGAATATACTTTATAGCTAGGTTTCGCTCACCCTATCGGCAACAGTCACCGACAGTTGTCAGGAAGGATGATTGCGAATTGGGGTGCTGATTGCAAATTGGGGTGCCTTTCCGATTGCGTGGGGGCAGCTAGCAATGCACCCTGATTCGCCTGCAACGCAATCGGCAACATTGAACCAGATTCCACCTTCCTAACAACTGTCGCCGATAGGGGGAGCGATCTTATGGAAACCAAGCTTAACAGAGAGATTGGACATGTGGAATGAATGTAGGATGGAAGCTGGCCCGAAAGACTGATGGTGTGGCAAGCAAGGAACGGAAGAAGAGGCAGAAAAATGCACAAATACTTGTCCTGATACAGAACAGGCAATGATATGTTAATTAAGTTGACTACCCACCTCGCCGGCTGTTTTCGAAGCCAACTCTTGTAAGCATGGCTGTGAGGCGGAAGGTAATCTAAGCTTTCGTATGTTGCTAATAGTTCACGTTCCTGTTTTGTGTACTTGTGGTTTACGTAGCGACTTTCAAAGTCTCTACCCTTTGCAAAAAAGCGACTGTTATCATCTGACGGATGCAGCTCTTTGTGGTCATCATCAAATGTGGAGTTTACCACCAGTTTCCTCCTTCTTGACATTTTTCAGTTTTTGTTCTAAAAATAAAATGTTAATGAAACGGGGTGTTGCATAACATTTTAAAATAATTTTATATTATACATAAATGATTTTTATTAAATGCAAAATATTGTTATAATAATAAATAACACTTAAAGACAGTTTCGAAGTGCTTAGAATTCCCAGTTCTGTAAACTAAAACAAAAGAAAAGACGCGTTTTGACTTTTGTTTTGGAAATGTTGACAGATGTTAATGCACGTATTTCATATGAACTGTTGAAAAAAATGAACAAGTAATTATACAAGACAGCAGTGTCTATAGTAACACCGGACTTTCTATATAGAAATGGTAGCTCTGGTCTAGCTTGAGAAACTGTAACTGATGCTATGAAGCTATTTATATTACTCCATGGGCTACCCGGCTACCTAGGCCTGTCTACTCTTGGTCTACTCAACACAACTGCTGTATGTAGGAATAGGCCTAGAAGACTAGCCACCTCTCCTGAGTCCTCCTAGCCTAGCTGGTGTAGGACCGGTTCGGCTGTGAATGAGTTCGGTCGCGATATAGTTGTATGGAACGCCAAGTAGACGCAGAGCTGTTATGAAGCTATTTATATTACTCCATGGGCTACCCGGCTACCTAGGCCTGTCTACTCTTGTATGGAACGCCAAGTAGACGCAGAGCTGTGTATGCTGTACTTGTGTGGGTGTGTGTGTGTGGGTGGGTGTGTGTGTGTGTGTGTGTGGGTGGGTGTGTGTGTGTGTGTGTGTGTGTGTGGTTAATCTGCTGCTACAGTATCCATTATTTCATGTTTATTGTTAGGTCTTAACAAGACAATTCAACAGAAGGACACACATCTCGGGACATCAAAGGTTATAACTCTGGCATCGACATTCTAGGTGCACGTGCATCCCTACATGCTGAACGTCACAAAAACCATAGCAACCAGACCATAAAGCGTACGTGACGAATTACCCACGCGCGTGTTAGTTGCCATGATAATTGTGCATCGTGCAGTGATTACAAAGGCCTAATTATATTTTGCACTAACATTAAACTGAAATTATATTCTTCATTTCAACAATAATTTTACCGATATTGTGGTGTATTGTTGTTCATGAGACTCACTTCACGAAAAAAAATAATAAATGTTCTGTATCTACTCAAATGTTCGATTTGTGCACCTCAGTCCAACATTGTCAAAATGACAGTTTAGTGTTACCTAAATCAAATTTCAGTTTATAGAAGCATTTAACAAGCTCGCGGTCAAAAGAAATCAGATGAAACAGACATTGCGAAGTACCCAAAATTAATAAAATAGTAACTAACACCATAAAACGTATGGCACGCATAGACTAATAATTGACGGCTGTACTCGCAACTAGTATCTGATTGTCGATGCCACAGTAAAGATCAAAGGACTGCACGCACGCGCTATGTTCGAGAGCAGAGATGTGCGTCCTGTTGAATTACCTTGGTCTTAATATGCTGCCAAATAAGCAATGTGGTTTTAAGGGAATCAGGGCATTATTATGCTGCCATTAGTTTGCCAAAACAGTGTATTTTATTAGGTTTCTGTAATTCCTGTGTAAGTTAATAAATAATGATTTAGATGGCATATATTTTGTTTTACCTATTTAAAACAAACGAATGTACATTATATATACAATCATATGTTGATAATCAAACCAAATGAAATGGATTTTATTATTCGTGTGTGGTTAATCTATTGTTGCTACAGATCCATGACTTGGTGTTGTATTATCAGGTCTTTATGTTGTAAATTAATTAATGTGGTTTCAAGCAATTCAATGGCATTATTACTGCGATGAGTTTGCGAACAAACAGTGGATTTTATTAGGTTTGTGTAAGTTAATAATAATGTTTTAAGATTCATATATTTCGTTTTATCTATTTGAAACAAACGAACAGTGAATTTTATTAGGTTTGTGTAAGTTAATAATAATGTTTTAAGATTCATATATTTTGTTTTATTTATTTGAGACAAACAGTGGATTTTATTACAGTAGGTTTGTGTAAGTTAATAATAATGTTTTAAGATTCATATATTTCATTTATCTATTTGAAACAAGCGAATTTATATGTTGATAATCAAACCAAAGGATTTTATTATTTTCATATTATAGTGTCGATGCATATTATTGAAGAAGAAGAATGTTGATAATATGAATATACTGTACTGCCAAATCAGTGGATTTTGATTATATTTTTCGTAATGTTATTAAAGCTTACAGTATTTAATGCTTTATGTTTTGATGTATATTATGTCTAGGCCTATACGTGCTTAAATGGTTGATTGACTGATTTGCAGCAGGAAGTATATAAACGCCACAAAAAATCATATTACTGATGCCCCGTCTGGCACTCAAAATTTCCGACCGACACTGACAGGCTGCTGACCAGCACTGTTTTTAAATTTCTTCCAAGCAATAAAGTTTCAACTTGGAATATTTTGCAGGATAAAATTAAAATGTAAAACACTTCTTAACTAAAAATTATGCTATTAAAACTGCTCCGTAAAACAATCAATCTTAATAATAATGTACTAAATTACATATTTAAACGGTATTGTGTTCTTCTAATGCACTTGTCAATTGTAGTCCCGGACGTGGGCCATAGTGGGGCACTAGCTGGGACTTAGCCGGGGACGTACACATAGTTGTGTCCCCGTATTGCTGGAACGTACCTAAAATTTACCCGTAGATGTAAAAGGACTCGAAAGGGCCGGAAATTTTATATGTTAGAGTAGCCGCGGTTTCGGGTGTGTAGGCCTAGCCTAGCCTAGCCTAGTGCTGTCAAACCGGGTCTGGTCCTACAATAGGCCTGGCATTCAGTCAACACTGTCTGTTTTGGTAATTAAAAAATCGGCTACCGGTACTTTAGGTCTATCATCATGGTTTCATTTTTTATAGATCACGGTATAAATTACATAATAAAATTGAACCTCCAACCACACAACGCTGAGGGCCGAGGTGGCAGCGCGTGTGAATGTGTTGCGTGAAAATTTGTGAACCATGAATTTGACCTAGTTTGCATCAAAAATATGCCAGTACATGAGCGAAGGCAAGGAAATCTGTTGCTACTACATGTATTCATTTTCTTATTTAGGCCTAATTTCTGTTTTGATATTGAATAATTAAATTCTTTCAATCAGTTACCATTCAATCAATCAATTATTTACTTTTTCTATGATCAATCTGTCAACCTGTCTCCTTTTTGTTCGCACTTTTCCAAACTTCTATGGAAATCTGCTTAGTGATACGCATGCATAGTGCTTCCATCAAGCAAGCTCATCTACTTGGCCTAGCTCCTGCCTAACTTGCTCTCACATGTTTCTCCGATTTAGACCTAGACTAGGGACCTAGGGGCCTAGACCTTCAAGTTGGTCTTATCATCCAATCATTTATTAGCGGGGCATTTTACCGGGACTACGGCAGTAAGTGGCGGGGACTTAGCTGGGGATATATGTTAAACGATGCCTTGCATTCCATTGCTGGGAGGTGGCAGGGACTTTCACATGCATGTAACCGTTTTGAAAATTACTGGCTAAGTCCCCACAAGGTCCGTGTCCGTGGGGAGGGGGAGGGGCCAGGACTACAATTGACAAGAACAAGTGCATAAGTGGAAGTAAAAACAAACAATACATTTTTATTTATACTCTTTATTTCAACAATTCGATTTTATTACGGATGATTTCCCAATACAGCATACCCCCTAACCTGCGGCCAACGTTGCACTGTGATACCTAATTCACGCATTGATTACACTACTCGGCGTTCCATACAATAACCCTTATTTGGGCATTGAATATCTCCCGGCCGAACTGGTGCGTAGCCTAAACTGACGTCGCCTAGGCCTGCCCTACTAGAGGCAAATGCCTAGCTAGGCCTAAGTCAATAATTGACAAAATTAACCTTACCTTCAGAAAGGCCTAATGATTGCCAACTTTTCCTGGGCAACACTTTCAACTTGTTTGCCTGCTTTAGTCTTGAAATATTCAATCAAAACATAACAATTTTCAGCAAATACCTGCTCTCTCTCCCCCCTCTTACTTTTATCGGTATGCTGTAAAACACGATATTGATCGTGGACGGTTGTTTTAAATGGTTCAATCGTCAATATTATTTGTAATCAGAATTATTTCGAAAAAGAACAATTAAATGATATAAATTTATCAAATCTGTCAATATATTTTCATTATTTTATATGAAGAATATTGAAAACTGAATAGTGTTTTAAATATTAATCATATATTTTTGGGCCGCATAGTTTTATTGGTAGTAGTGGCACAGTTAAATTAGGGAGATCCCCTTATCAATGCACGAACTCGATATGTTGACACTATCGCCTATAATGCATAAGCTATCAAACAAATAGGCCCAATATCCGTTTACCTTTGTACCCCCAAAAATGTAGAAAGGGCGCCAATGGCTGAGGTGTCGATAAATTACTAGACCTACCCTATAATAAATTGTAGTAGGTTCTACATCAAAATCTTTCAGCTATAGAATTTACACAATATTACTATACAGAAAAATTAACCGCGCAGCCTTTTCCAAAGGATAGACCTACAAGGCGCAATAATAAATAAATAAAAAAAGATAACCAACTGGTGATCAACAAAGACACCAGAAATGACAAAAAACAGAACATTTGGACAGTTAAGTGAGATTTACTTAGGGAACAAATGTTTCTTGAGAAGCCGAAGAAAACCAAGATAACAATACCATTGTCATTTTTGTTTGTTTCTTAAATTCACACGTTATTTCATTCTGTAGGTAGAATTTTAATAAGAAGTCAAACTGTATAGTCCAATGAATGAAGTAGGCGTACTTTAAGAAAAATATTTCATTGTATCACACAAACGTTATAAAAAAAAACAAAAGCCTTTAATAGTAATATCAAAATTAACAATTAAAATAAAATATAAAATAAAGGCTTAAAGACAGGCGCTTGGGCAAAAAATTCAATTCAATATTATTAGCTACTAGGGCAATCAAGGGCAAATATCCGCATTAACAATATCTTCACAATAATAATAATAATAATAATAATAATAATAATAATAATAATAATAATAATAATAATGATAATAATATTAATAATAATAATAATAATAATAATAATATACAATAAATAAAAAAACAAGATAATAATGCAATTATTACATAAAAGGAATTTTAAATTAATGGACCAATTCTACTGAATAGAATTAAAGTGTGGCTTGCTTAATATCAGATGTTGTGGCGGAGAATGGGCCAATGTTTACAGTATACTTATAGTGAATAAAGAATGGGGAAGTTTTGAAATCTAGACGTGCATTGAATCGGAAACGGAATGATTAACTGTTTTTACGAGGGGCATAGTCATTGTTCTAACAGGTGGAAGGAAAACGTTAAGCGGATGATCAGTATATTGGACAATTTTGCAAATAAATTTAAGAAGAAAGTTTTTTTTTTCAAAGGGAGTGATGTTATATTGTGGGAAAAAACAGAAAGGTAAGATGAGGAAGTGCAGCCGTTTGAAATTAATTTAGCAAAGATAATTTGAAGACGAGGAAAAAGGACATATCACATTATTGGAGAAGGCCATATGAATTACAAGAAAATTCAGTAGGTTTGGATAACATTTATAAAGATGAACTAGGGAGGTAGAGTCAAGCGTGGATTTTAAAATATTGAAATTTTACGGTGTTGATTTGTATAAGGAGGATAGGCCTATTTGTGAATGAAATTTGAGATCAATGGATATAATTATTCCCAAGTATCTGATGGAGTTGACACCTTCAAAATATTTTGTCATGGAGAAAAAGAGGAGGAAATATATAGCCGGAACTTTACGAAAATCAATATTTTAAAATTTTGCATTTGTGAGGGGCAAAAGTCAAACCATTGGAAAGGCTCCAGGAAGGAAGTTTAGTAAATAATAAGAGCATTGATTCTCGCATATACAACATAACTGGGAAACAACCAGTGTATATGTATAGATTTTTGTACATGTAGCCTATATCATTGCAAAACTCTATCTAGCCATAATTGCAAAAAAATCAAAGCGCCCTCTATAAATAGCCAGGCTGCCAACTTTAAAGTACAGGTACAGTATTTAGGTAGGCGTAATACAGTACAGTAGTTCAAGTGTCCTGGATTTCCGGTACAATGTAATATTATTACTGTACCTGTATCCCTCTAAACACGAACAATCTCTTATTATTATAATTGCAACACATCACATACATATTTTCTTTCTTTCATCGAATTTGGGTCTTTATAGGCCTACAAGTTTCATTTTCTATTCCACTAGTCAGATTTTCATGCATTGAATAAGGTTAACGAGTTATATATATGTCTACTTGTTCAAATTTTTACAATAACTTTCAGATTACATGACCTTAGGCCAAGCGTCCATCTTATTTTTAATCTTCTCTTATTGACTTGACGTCACTGTTTAGACCGGTGCCGGAATTTTAAATATTTATATAAATATAAACATTATCGAGTAAGTTTGCTTGAATTCCACTTGAAACAAAATACAGTAGACTAATATTTCGATCAAGCCGGATGCGAAATATCTTAATCATCTTTCACTTAAATGAAACATTATTTAAAAAGATTTAAAAATTGATGATTTCTGACCACAATAATCTGATGAGTAACGCGTTGCTGGGGAAACAACGCCAAGAAACCTCGTTCTATGACTAAAAAAGATCTCGGACTTAACGCATTATAAGAATCCGCATAGTTCGTGCCTGACAACGGCGCAGTCACATCCTTTACTTTGGAGGTGATACGAAATCCGGTAGATAGATTTATCACTCCGCACCTTATCGAACATGGCCTACATTATAACTTGTTGCATTATGAAAAACGCTTGTCATCTTCTGTTGATGCCGCCAAGATATCCTGTCACTGTAAATCTTAGTACAGACCTAGGCCAATATTTTTTAGGGATGAACCGGTAGGCCTCTATGCAGTAGCGTGACCAATAGTCAATACAAAATTCTGAATATCAGTCAATCAGTCTGCCTTTGCAGATCATAATTATTTACGGTGTAAGTCCGTGGTGCCTCAGAGTGCAATTATTAACAAACTAATAGCCTTTTTAAAACCCCTTCTCACAAGGAAAACAAGGCCATGAAATCAACCAAGAGGTAAATTTTTATGTTTCTCTGGATCTCGTCATCTACCCCCTACAGCATTAGTGCTTAAAAAGCCAACTAGTTTATAAAGTGTTCATTCTTTGTGGACGAGGTGGGGGTTGAAAAAAAAATAGATGTCACTGCCTTTGTCAAGTAATTTGGTACGATCCTGTGCCGTCCATCGTAGTGCAACACAGCCTTATCAAACATCATTCATACAATTAGTTTTGGCTCTACCGCGGAAAAATATTTTTACCACAAAAGACGCTGGGTAAATTTCAGGTTTTACTATAAAAATGACAATTTTTTGATAAAAGGAGAGGTCATGGCCCTATAACGAGATTTAATACTGAATCGAACCAATTTAAAATTGACGTATTTTTGCTAAAGCATACTCTAGATTTAGACATACAAAACTATTTTGAGAAGTTTTATTTAGTTTATTTATTTTAATATCAAATCCATTAAGTTGTAGCCTCCATGACGTGCTGGTTTTGAAAAGTCGCATGACCCAATTACCGGACATGTTGATAGGCCTATATGAGGTGGATAATCAGGTTCATCTGCGAAAGTCACGAGTCGATCCTGAATGACCAATAGTGACATCCGTCTCCTAAGAAAATATTAAAATTATATGACCTTGAGGGTTGCAATATTGGGTATTGAATGTTATTAAAAATTCATTGTGTGAAAATTGATTTAAAAAACAGCAAATATAAAGTGACCATTATAATACTAGTTGATCATCAATTTCAATCCTGTGAGATAGGGTTCAGATATACCGTAGCACTTAAAACGCTTAAAGGGTTTTTTGGTTTTTTTTTTTGTTTTTTGTTTTTTTTGTTTATGGTTTTTTTTTTAAATAGTATTGCTTCGAAAATAATAATCAAACAAAGTATTTGCTCATCGCCTTTGCTACTTGGAGGATTAGGCCTACCCTTCTCAATAGCCGTGTATTTATATCACAAGGTATGGGGGCTATTAACCCGTTATTGCCTTGGGAAAAGTATTAATTTACATACAAACGATTGTCAAGTAACATATACAATCAATGTTACTGTGTAGCACTGCGTGATTGTCAAGTGATTCGTTTTGTGGTCTACAAGGAGCCAGGATATTCAGTCTGCATATTTTTTTTTTTTTTTTTTTTTGGCGACGGTGAATTCGCTTTGTTTATATTCACCAGTTTTTGTATTGCTTATTTGAATAAGATAGTTTCGTATACGAAATTTATGGTGTAAGATAATATTTATAAGATTATAAGTGGTATTGCAGAAAAAGATATAGAAGAGGGGGAGGAATAAAGGAAGAATAATGGGAGGACAAAAAGAAAAAAAACTCATAATTTAAAGAAAAGAAACAAAAAAATTAATTAAAGAAGAAAAATGTAGATGAAAGAAAAACAGAGTATTAAGACAAATACAAAAGGTTGAAGAAAACAGTAAAGGTTACCGGGGGTTGTTGATGTTCTTGTCAACTTCCTTGTTTAGTTTTTACCGTGACGCAAGCCTGACCGTATAAAATGAGTTTGCTTGCGTTGTTTCCTTGTAGTAGTAATATACATCTTATCTGAAGATCTAATTAATTAATGTTCTGGGTGTTAGTCACGTACATCGCCCATTAATATTGATTGATTGATTGATTGTTTGACTGATTGGTTGATTGACAGCATGAGTAATTGATAGATTGATTGATTATTGAGTATATTACCTGGATTGATTGATTGATTAATTAAATAATTGATTCATTGATAGCTTGAATGAGTAACTGATTGATTGATTGTTACATAGCTTGCTTTATTTATTGATAAATTAAATGTAGACATGTGTAGGATTTATATTAACTTTATGCTCTAATTTGATGATAATGATTTGATAACTAAATACACGAATTTGACGTATTTATAAAGCTAATGAAGGTCAAAATAATGTGTCAGAGAGAAATCTCTTTTATTTACAATATAGGATTAAAACAAAATAAATACTATTATATACAATCAATAAATAAGTCAAGTTTACAGTTATTTTGCAGCTATAGAGTAAATCCAGTGGGCTATATAACAAGTGATAAAACAAAAGAGTTGTAATGAGAGGGGGTTCAATGCAATTTAATGAAAAATGTTAACCCTTGTTTATCCTATCACTTATTCACCCTTCCCACGTCATCTAATTCGCTGACGTTATTTTTAAGGTAAATTGCTATACCAAAAAATACAAGTATTAACAGTTCAAATGTTCGGTCATTTAGCATAAATCTAGCACATTTTCTTTTTATTATTATTATTATACACTCCTTCCTGCGCCATTTAAATTGCTGATTAATGTTGGAGATATAATAAATATACAATTATGTAAACCGTAAAAAACAAATAATAACCGTTCATATTGTTTTTTATCGATGAATTTAGCAAGTTTTGTTTTTCTATTTATTCCTTACGTACCCCTCCCGCGACATATCACTGACTTAAATTTTTGAGGTAAATAATAATTATACACTACTTGCGAACAAATGAGTATGGAATAAACCGGTCAACTAGTTCCACTATTTAAACCTAGCACGTTTTTTAAAAAAGCAGTTCAGTTTGTTCATATAGCACACAGCGAAAAAGTATTACGTGATAGATATCTTTATCCATATTTATTTTTTTTGTTGTTGTTAATGCTTCTCACTTCTTCCGTGAGCGCAACATCCTGCGTCCTCGTGTTTATTAAGTAGAGACATCCGAGAAAAAGTTTTCCCACACTTTTTACAGCAGTATTTCTTAACGTCCGAATGAGTTTGTAAGTGAGCTCTGAGGTTTGATCTGTCTGCAAATGCTCTCTTACAATGCTGGCAGGAAAACGGTTTTTCTCCGGTGTGCGTGCGAATGTGTCCCTGTAAAAGCCAGGGCCTTGAGAAGGCTTTCCCGCAAAAGCTGCATTTACACGGTAGGGTATGTGTCCTGATGTGCATTTTGAGGGCTCCGAGAGACATGTACTCTTTCTCGCAATATTTACACTTAAAGCTCTTTTTGCTTTGTGCATCGCAGTAAAATTGTCTGTGCTTGCTAAGGCCACTGGCCGTCACGTACACTTTGTTACACTCTGGACAATGATATTTTTGATCCCCATTCTGAATGTCTTTCTTTTTTCTCGTTGGATACTCTTTAGCTAATGATGGCACTATCGTAACAGTTTCTTGAGAAATCGTATGAGAATTGTCCGAAGGTAAAGTTATTGGTAAAGTTGGCGCTGCATCTGCGATTTTAAAACCGTTATCATGGCAACTGGTATGAGATGGGTAACATGTTAGGTAACACAACTGAATAACTTTTTCATTCAATGACTTAATTGCAAGCGGTTCTGGTCTTACAGGTTTTCTGATCACATCTGTGGCAGGGTTAAATGCTGTAATTCAAAGAAAATAAAAGAACTTGTTTACAAAAATGTATCGGTAAAATGTAAAATGAAATATATAGGCCTACTTTGATTTGAATCGAATTGTTTGATCAGATATTAATATATAATAACATACATAATTAATTGTTTCATTCGATATGGATATATAATAACATACATAAATAACATACACACACTGAATTGTTTGATTCGATATTAAATACATAATAAAATGCACAAACACAGTAATTTTGATATGCAACGTAGGAATCAGCATGATCAATGGATACAATTATTACAACTTTGCGATACAGGTATATCACAAACTATAGAATAAAAGAATATTTGTGTGTCTTACCTGCTCTAAGTATCGTATGCTGCAATCTCTTAAAATGATGTTGATGGTTATAATGTTTCTTGATTAAGAAAGACCTCGGCATCTTGCGTTTTACTGGTTTTACTTCGGAGTAGAAATCGTAGAAGTAATTAACTTTTCAACGGTAATCAAGTTTAATGACAGGTCTTGCGATGTTTGGACTTTTATACCAAAAATAGTCGAGTGTTTTCTGTGCATTCCGGTGGAGTCCAAGGTTTTGTGGGCGGGGGCTAACTTGTAAAGCAGCCAATGGCTGCGAAGTACCATGTGCAGGTGGATATAATAGTTTCGCGGTCTAGTGAAGTTTTGGAACAATGACATTTTCAAAAGCGTAACCACAATCCATCGAGAAAAAAAACCCAGGTCGTTCTAAAGAAAGTTTATTGAACGAAACCATTAAACCTAGTACATAAACATCCAACAACAATAAATCATCCAAAACAATATTTCTATTTACTACCGTACTATCAATTTCTTTTTGTGGGGATATGACAGTGAGATAATATAAGGGAGAAAATAAAAATATAACTATTAAATTCGATTGACAGTCGATCATGAAATCCGCTTTTGTAATAAGTGATATGAACTGGATGAGCGCCGAGAATATCTGCCGTAATCTTTAGGATCTGTAATGCTTTGAGCAAGTATCCCACTTGTCCCTGAGTTTGTCATTATTGCCAAGCAAGTGTATCATATACAACAAATATGTGTTTGTATAAGTACTTGAACAATGTACGGATTGTCTATAGTTTGTAGTATTAGAATGGGAAAGTATCTAACCATTAGAATTAAACGACCACAGAGTGTTATTGATAAATCGGTCTGCTGTTAGTAGGTCTTCGGTGCTTTCAATTGACGCTTTCCTTTCCTGTTTTCGAAACATAAAAAAAAAATTCGAAATATACAATAACGATGGCGTCTTTCTTTGGAGCTCGAAATTTATTGCGCAACTTTCACCAATTGACACTTATATTATTATAATTAGCTCATTAGCTTTATTTGCATGATATGTAAAATAGGCATAAGCGTACTATGTTACCAATATGATTTTATTATTATATAAATATGAAATATATATATATATATATATATTATATATAAAGATATCCGTTAACACTGTTAAATTATATTATATATTATCATGTCCTTTATTCGAACACTGTATTTACCTTTCTTTGTTAATTTATATATATATATATATATACATATATATGTATATATAAGCTCACTATGTAGGCCTATTACTATCATCATCATTATCAATATCATGAGCATTAACATTATTTATATTATTAATATTATTATCATTATTATTATTATTAGTGTTATTATTATCTATGCCTATTACTCTTATCCTTATTATAGATCTATATCAAGTCTACTTTATATATATATTTTTAAATAAATTGATATTGATCTAGTCCTATTAGATGTCATATTGATACCGGAACGAATTTCAGCAGTGCGTGCAAAGTGGCCGCCATTGTAAAATCCCATTGACGACAAAACTTCCGTAAACATTATTCGGATATGACAACCTTTTGGACAAGGGCGTCAAAGGAACAATGCGTGCGTTTTATCTGTTGCTGAATATCACTAGTGCATCTAGTGCCCTTAATAAACATAGGCCTATGTAAAATGGCATCACATAAAACTGGCTATCATAATTTTAATCATGTTATGCTCATAAAACCCATCCTTCTTATTATAAAGTTAGGACTACATTTTATTCTATACAATTGTTTGACAGGCGCCAAATTGCTGTCAGGTGGTTAATAATCAATATTTCCTCCAGGAACTTGGATTGTCCTTCATTTTTTGGTCTTGACCGATCCAATGAATATAGGCGCTCTAGATTAGCCTAGCAGATGAAAATCATGAATCCATGGGAAAGAAAAGTCGGCCACGTGAAGCCCAGGGAGGGAACGTAGATTTATGTGATGATGTTATGAGTCCTATTTAAAATTAGACTAAATCCACGATTGGATAGGGAAAAGATCGCCTTGAGACGTATTTCACCTCAAAATCACATTGGTTTTGTTTACTTTAAAAAAACAAACTACAGCTGACTCTGAGGTAAATCGTGTGTTCGGAACCTAGATTCCCATGGATACAGACGCTTGTACATTTTACGCTGAATTTAACCAATTTTCACGCTTAAACAGGGGGCGTGTCGACATCCACTTGAAATGCAGTACGAAAAGGTGGTCCCCTAATACATCCTAGGCTGAGGAGGAACGATAACTTTTACCATGTTATAACGCTTCTGATTAACAACTATACGATTAAAAAAGAAATATATATCAATGAATTGGGGATAAAATCAAAAACAAGCTATAAAAATGAACTTGAAACAGATTGATTTGAACTCTGTTCGACACCTGCTTGGGGTCGTTCAAGTGTAACGGGCTTGCGTATCGCGTTGTTTGTTCAAAACAATAACACGACGGCCGTGTGTTGAGTGTTTCTTTGTGTTGTTTGTGAGAGTAACGGTATTTTGTGAAGACCAGTAAACTGTGATTGGGTGTGCAGAAAAGACGCGATAGCAACTGCCTGGCGCGATTTGTTTGTATTCTCTGGCAGGTGCTAGACACAATGTGCCACAACGTGTGTATTGGAATCTTCAAACGAAAAAACATACGACAAAACGAGAATGAAGCACATACAGCAGGTGGCCTAAAGAAGAAGTCTTCTTCTTTTGATATTAAACTGAAGGAATTTAGATAATATTTCATGATTAATAAACTCTCTCGTCCTATCGCTTTTTAAGTCACATTAATTATGCGGACATTTAATTTTAATTTACAAGTTTTAAGTGGATTATTCCTACAATTAAATAATTAATTAATTAAAATATTTGACCAACGTACAATAAACACTTAACCTACTGATTCTCGGAAATAATTTAAAATTCGCTCTTTAAGAATTTGTAAAGTGATCCTTAAGTGTTTAAGAACTTGGCCTGTCTCTTCAACTTTAATATATTGCTGTTTTGAATGCGAATAGGCCTATATGGCAGTATAAATAAATTTCTAGTAAATGATCATGAAACTATTTATAATTTTACTACACAATTATTAAATAATAATAATAATAATAATAATAATAATAATAATAATAATAATAATAATAATATATTGACCGTGCTACTGGTCACACACGGTGCATGCTACTCATGCTGTCATGCACATTGCCATTTGGTCGAGATTACATACCGTACCTGTTTAATGTTTTTTGTTTGTTTTTTGTTTGTGCTTTTTATTCAACATTTATTACAAGGTTAACAGCCTGAGATAAAATCGAGGTATCTCTGAACATTCACAACATTATCATAAGAGCGGTGGTAGTTTGGAACACACTAAAACAACATTAAATTATCTTCTGTCAAAAAAATAAACAAAAAAAAATATTAGCAATAAATATTGTATCTTAAAATATACTAAAATTTTCATATACTGTAAATTAAAGTATAAAGAAATCTCTGAATGTACATTTCTTAATTTTGGATCTCAGTGTATCTATATAAAAGCCTATATAGGCCTATATATATATATATATATATATATATATTTATACTTTACATAATCAATATGTATAGGCCTATACTATAATCACGATCAACATGATTACGTCACTCTGTGGTCAACTTTTAAAGTGAAGTCCCATTGGTAGGCCCTATAGAAC